CCCGCCGACCTAGCACCCGCCGACCTAGCACCCGCCGACCTAGCACCCGCCGACCTGGCACCCGCCGACCTGGCACCCGCCGACCTAGCACCCGCCGACCTAGCACCCGCCGACCTAGCACCCGCCGACCTAGCACCCGCCGACCTAGCACCCGCCGACCTAGCACCCGCCGCCCTAGCACCCGCCGCCCTAGCACCCGCCGCCCTAGCACCCGCCGACCTGGCACCCGCCGACCTAGCACCCGCCGACCTAGCACCCGCCGACCTAGCTCCCGCCGACCTAGCACCCGCCGAGCTAGCACCCGCCGACCTAGCACCCGCCGACCTAGCACCCGCCGACCTAGCACCCGCCGACCTAGCACCCGCCGACCTGGCACCCGCCGACCTGGCACCCGCCGACCTGGCACCCGCCGACCTGGCACCCGCCGACCTGGCACCCGCCGACCTAGCACCCGCCGACCTAGCACCCGCCGACCTAGCACCCGCCGACCTAGCACCCGCCGACCTAGCACCCGCCGACCTGGCACCCGCCGACCTGGCACCCGCCGACCTAGCACCCGCCGACCTAGCACCCGCCGACCTAGCACCCGCCGACCTAGCTCCCGCCGACCTAGCACCCGCCGACCTAGCACCCGCCGACCTAGCACCCCCCGACCTGGCAGCCGCCGACCTAGCACCCGCCGACCTAGCACCCGCCGACCTAGCACCCGCCGACCTAGCACCCGCCGACCTGGCACCCGCCGACCTAGCACCCGCCGACCTAGCACCCGCCGACCTAGCACCCGCCGACCTAGCACCCGCCGACCTAGACCCGGCCAACCTAGCACCCACCCACCTGGCACCCACCGACCTGGCATTCACCGACCTGGCACCCGCCGACCTAGCACCCGCCGACCTAGCACCCGCCGACCTAGCACCCGCCGACCTGGCACCCGCCGACCTAGCACCCGCCGACCTGGCACCCACCGACCTGGCACCCGCCGACCTAGCACCCGCCGACCTAGCACCCGCCGACCTAGCACCCGCCGACCTAGCACCCGCCGACCTAGCACCCGCCGACCTAGCACCCGCCGACCTGGCACCCGCCGACCTGGCACCCGCCGACCTAGCACCCGCCGGGCATGCACCCGCCGACCTAGCACCCGCCGACCTAGCCCCCGCCGACCAAGCCCCCGCCGACCTAGCCTCCGCCGACCATGCACCCGCCGACCTAGCCCCCGCCGACCTAGCCCCCGCCGACCTAGCCCCCGCCGACCTAGCCCCCGCCGACCTGGCACCCGCCGACCTGGCCCCCGCCGACCTGGCACCCGCCGACCTAGCCCCCGCCGACCTAGCCCCCGCCGACCTAGCCCCCTCCGACCTGGCCCCCGCCTACCTGCCACCCGCCGACCTTCCACCCGCCGAACTGGCACCCACCGACCTAGCCCCCGCCGACCTAGCCCCCGCCGACCTAGCCCCCGCCGACCTAGCCCCCGCCGACCTAGCCCCCGCCGACCTAGCCCCCGCCGACCTGGCCCCCGCCGACCTGGCCCCCGCCGACCTGGCCCCCGCCGACCTAGCCCCCGCCGACCTAGCCCCCGCCGACCTAGCACCCGCCGACCTAGCACCCGCCGACCTAGCACCCGCCGACCTAGCACCCGCCGACCTAGCACACGCCGACCTAGCACCCGCCGACCTGGCACCCGCCGACCTGGCACCCGCCGACCTAGCACCCGCCGACCTAGCACCCGCCGACCTAGCACCCGCCGACATAGCACCCGCCGACCTGGCACCCGCCGACCTGGCCCCCGCCGACCTAGCCCCCGCCGACCTAGCCCCCGCCGACCTAGCCCCCGCCGACCTAGCCCCCGCCGACCTAGCCCCCGCCGACCTGGCCCCCGCCGACCTGGCCCCCGCCGACCTGGCCCCCGCCGACCTAGCCCCCGCCGACCTAGCCCCCGCCGACCTAGCCCCCGCCGACCTGGCCCCCGCCAACCTTCCACCCGCCGACCTTCCACCCGCCGAACTGGCACCCGCCGAACTGGCACCCACCGACCTAGCCCCCGCCGACCTAGCCCCCGCCGACCTAGCCCCCGCCGACCTAGCCCCCGCCGACCTAGCCCCCGCCGACCTAGCCCCCGCCGACCTGGCCCCCGCCGACCTGGCCCCCGCCGACCTAGCCCCCGCCGACCTAGCCCCCGCCGACCTAGCCCCCGCCGACCTAGCCCCCGCCGACCTAGCCCCCGCCGACCTAGCACCCGCCGACCTAGCCCCCGCCGACCTAGCCCCCGCCGACCTAGCCCCCGCCGACCTGGCCCCCGCCGACCTGGCCCCCGCCGACCTAGCCCCCGCCGACCTACCCCCCGCCGACCTAGCCCCCGCCGACCTAGCACCCGCCGACCTAGCACCCGCCGACCTAGCACCCGCCGACCTAGCACACACCGACCTAGCACATGCCGACCTAGCACCCGCCGACCTGGCACCCGCCGACCTAGCACCCGCCGACCTAGCACCCGCCGACCTGGCACCCACCGACCTAGCACCCACCGACCTAGCACCCGCCGACCTAGCACCCGCCGACCTAGCACCCGCCGACCTAGCACCCGCCGACCTTGCACCCGCCGACCTGGCACCCGCCGACCTAGCACCCGCCGACCTAGCACCCGCCGACCTAGCACCCGCCGACCTAGCACCCGCCGACCTAGCACCCGCCGACCTGGCACCCGCCGACCTAGCACCCGCCGACCTGGCACCCGCATACCTGGCACCCACCGACCTAGCACCCGCCGACCTAGCACCCGCCGACCTAGAACCCGCCGACATAGCACCCGCCGACCTAGCACCCACCGACCTAGCACCCACCAACCTAGCACCCGCCGACCTAGCACCCGCCGACCTAGCACCCACCGACCTAGCACCCACCGGCCTAGCACCCACCGACCTAGCATTCGACGACCTAGCAGCCGCCGACCTAGCACCAGCCGACCTAGCACCCGCCAACCTAGCACCCGCCAACCTAGCACCCGCCGACCTAGCACCCGCCGACCTAGCTCCCGCCGACCTAGCACCCGCCGACCTAGCACCCGCCGACCTAGCACCCGCCGACCTAGCACCCACCGACCTAGAACCCACCGACCTAGCACCCGCCGACCTGGCACCCGCCGACCTGGCACCCGCCGATGATGCAGCCGCCGATGATGCAGCCGCCGACCTGGCACCCGCCGACCTGGCACCCGCCGACCTGGCACCCGCCGACCTGGCGCCCGCCGACCTGGCACCCGCCGACCTGGCATTCGCCGACCTAGCACCCACCGACCTAGCACCCACCGACCTAGCACCCGCCGACCTAGCACCCGCCGACCTAGCACCCGCCGACCTAGCACCCGCCGACCTGGCACCCGCCGACCTAGCACCCGCCGACCTGGCACCCGCATACCTGGCACCCACCGACCTAGCACCCGCCGACCTAGCACCCGCCGACCTAGCACCCGCCGACCTAGCACCCGCCGACCTAGCACCCACCGACCTAGCACCCACCGACCTAGCACCCGCCGACCTAGCACCCGCCGACCTAGCACCCGCCGACCTAGCACCCACCGGCCTAGCACCCGCCGACCTAGCATTCGACGACCTAGCAGCCGCCGACCTAGCACCAGCCGACCTAGCACCCGCCGACCTAGCACCCGCCAACCTAGCACCCACCGACCTAGCACCCGCCGACCTAGCACCCGCCGACCTAGCACCCGCCGACCTGGCACCCGCCGACCTGGCACCCGCCGACCTGGCACCCGCCGACCTAGCACCCGCCGACCTGGCACCCGCCGACCTAGCACCCGCCGACCTAGCACCCGCCGACCTAGCACCCGCCGACCTAGCACCCGCCGACCTAGCACCCGCCGACCTAGCACCCGCCGACCTAGCACCCGCCGACCTGGCACCCGCCGACCTGGCACCCGCATACCTGGCACCCACCGACCTAGCACCCGCCGACCTAGCACCCGCCGACCTAGCACCCGCCGACCTAGCACCCGCCGACCTAGCACCCGCCGACCTGGCCCCCGCCGACCTAGCACCCGCCGACCTAGCACCGGCCGACCTAGCACCCGCCGACCTAGCACCCGCCGACCTAGCACCCGCCGACCTGTCACCCGCCGACCTGTCACCCAACGACCTGTCACCCAACGACCTAGCACCCACCGACCTACACCCACCGACCTAACACCCACCGACCTAGCACCCGCCGACCTAGCACCCGCCGACCTAGCACCCGCCGACCTAGCACCCGCCAACCTAGCACCCACCGACCTAGCACCCGCCGACCTAGCACCCGCCGACCTAGCCCCCGCCGACCTAGCCCCCGCCGACCTAGCACCCGCCGACCTGGCACCCGCCGACCTAGCACCCGCCGACCTAGCACCCACCGACCTAGCACCCGCCGACCTAGCACCCACCGACCTAGCACCCGCCGACCTGTCACCCAACGACCTGTCACCCAACGACCTAGCCCCCACCGACCTAGCACCCACCGACCTAGCACCCGCCGACCTGTCACCCGCCGACCTAGCACCCGCCGACCTAGCACCCACCGACCTGAGTCCGGGAGGCGGGCATTTAGGTTTGCCTGCAGAGCTGCAGGACTGAGGCTGCAATCCACCGGGGCCGCCGTGTAGCTGCGTGTCCGGCCCAGGCTGTAGGCTGCTGGGAGGCCGGAGAACTCGGTGTGGTACAGGGCCATGCTGAGGGTGTACCCAGAGGAGGTGAAGGCTGTCCACTTGCAGAGGCGCGGAAGCCTGCGATTTGCAGTTGAGGCGCGTGTAGGCCTCCTCCAGTTGTGTTGCTGCGCCAGTTGTCGGTGCTGGGTTAAATGATCAAATTGACCACGAGGGCCTTAGCCGTACTGACGTTTTGTAGGCTGCTCAGCCTGAGGCCACGCTCCAACGCCCGGGACCAGGAAGGCAAGGGCACGGGGCACCACGCAGACAGGGCCTGCACAGTGGTCTGCCGCAACGGCAGCACCAACACTCACTCGAGCAATTTTACAAGACGCAACCCCAACGCAGCAGCCACCCGCAGCCATGGACGGCATATGCGTATGCCGGAACGCCCCCGCCTTCCTTGTCGCAAGGCCCAGCCAGCAGCACCTTTTATTGCTCTCTGCTGCCCCCTGCTGCAGCTGAAGTAGGAGTGGAGAAACACACACCCGCCCTTCTGTCTTGCTTCGTTTCAGCCGTCAGGCATACCAGTACCCATCATGTCGCACCGCAACCACAGCAAGACGTTTACGTTTCGAACATGACAGATGTTCCGTGAAGTATCCCGGGAGCGGAAACACTTTGCACACATCGCCGCCCGAGCAACCGCGATCAGAAAGACTCATGTGAAGCCATGGCGCTCCGCTTCACCTGTCACCCTACACCACTCAAACCTCCTCCGTCTAACGTCTACAACACCAGCTCTTGAGTACTACTCTCCTACCGGAATCCAAACCTGCCCTATTAACGGGTACGGTAGTCTCCACGGCCTCCATCACCTATGTGCCCCATGCTAAAGACTCCCATGTAACTTTTTAACCAGGCTATAGCCCTGAATAAATGACCGAATGACCTGAACCGATATCCCTGATCGATTGACTAGCCCTAACACACTACCTCGCATCCTTTCCTGCAGCCGCTTGTTGAGCCTTCCCTTGTACGGTCCCCCCGTTGGCCGCCGCGTTTGCTGCCGCAGCTGCCGCTAGGTCCCCCGCAGGAGCCGCGCGCGCTGCCACGGTCTGACCCGACGACCACCTGCATGCGGTGAACACCACACCTTCGGTTAAGAGTACCGGCACGTACGGCACGAAATGGAGGCAGGTACCGGTTCCTTTCACAACCTTTGCGTTAGGAACCGGTATCATGGTGGTTCATTGTAATGCTCTAGCGTAAGACTTCCCTTTTCATCCTTCCTTCCTTTCCTTCTCATCCTTTACTGCTTCCCTTCTTGTCCTTACCTGCCGTAATCAGCCACTAGGAGGTCCAGGAAGGACGGCAGCAGGGAGGAGATGGCGTAGCGCACAATCAGGCTCCCAGTCATCCCAAGCAGAGGCCGAGGTACCGCTGTAAGCGCCGACGGTACCGTCACCGTGACCGACAGATCGACACTGCCCACCAGTAGCGCTGTCGCGCCCTCATCGCTGTTACTGCTGTTGCTGCTGCTAGTGATGCTAGTGGTGGTGCTACTGCCCACGCCATTACTGCTACTGCTGTTGTTGCTGCTACTGCTACTGCTGGTGTTGCTGGCACCGCTGCTGGTGTTGCTAGAAGAGACGTCCATCTGGGCGTTAGCCTCGCCTAGTTGTTGTTGCGGCTGGCCGTTGTAATAAGCCGAGGAGGTGGAGGTAGGGGAATGCGCTGCAAAGGAAGCATGCATCCCAGGCGGGTCCGAGAAAGTCGTCACATCGGCGCCATTGTTGTTGCACTGTGGCTCGTAGCTGAAAGACCCCGACGCTGAACTGCTACAGGACGCAGAGGGCGCAGTAACGGTTGCGGCAGCGGAAGCAGAGGAGGAAGGGAGGCCGCCACCGCTGTTCCTAGACGCCGCTGCCGCCGCCACTACGTGGGAAGCGCCGGAGCTGCCCGCTGTCGCCGACGTCGTCCCTGCCGAGTCACCGCACTCAGATCTCCCCCATTGGCTGGCGGGAACGTACAACACCGACTCCTCTATGAATGGCAACTGCTCTACGGCGACCCGCGGTGAGGCTGAGGCGGTCGGAACTGACCCATGGGCCGCTGAGGCTGCCACTGCTGCCCTGTCCGCTGCTAGGCTCCCCTCACGTCCGTTTGGCAGCCCCGACCGAATGGCGACTGTGCCCCTGGGCCCTATCCCACCGCCGCTACTGCTGCTGCTGCCGTACGAGCCGTAATAGCCATTAGAGTCGACAACAAAGCGGCCGTGGTTCCCATCCTCGTTCCCGTTCCCGCTGTTGTTCTTTCTGCTGCTACAGCTGAAGCCGTTGGCGTCAGCATTGCTACTGCTAAACCCGGTTTGCGCGGTATTAGCTCCGAAGCTTGCCGTATCAGACGAGGAAGATGTCAGCGACGCTGTTCCCGCTAACCGCTGTGCTCCTTCCACCTCTGCACCGTTGCCATCCCCAAAGCGCGCCATCACCGCACCATCCGTGCCATCCACAACTTCCGCGATAACGACCTCCGCGTTACGCTGAACTAGGTTTCCGGACGTGGTTCCAGAGCCGTTGGGACTACTGTATTGCAGCTCATTTGAGCGCTGGGACGGTGACGGCGGCCCTGACGCTGATGATGAGGGTACTGTAGGTGATAATGAGGACGGAGGCACCACTACGACAGTGCCGGGAGTTGCCTGCTGCTCCCCTGGGTTGCTGCCGCCGTTAGCAGCAGCAGCAGTAGTAGCAGCGGCTGATGCTGCTGCCTCCTCCCTGCCACTCGCTTTGGACCACATGCGCCGAATCGACCTGCGGATCAGCGCAACACAGCGAATGTACAACGGGTGCGGCAGCACAACGTGCATCCACAAGAGCGGCCTAGCAGTGGCATCGGCAGCGGCTTCCAAGCAAGCAGGAGCAAGGAATTGGCCACAAAGGGGCAACCAAGCCCAACCGAGAAGCCCAATCCGCCTGCTTGCCTCCGCACCTTAGAGGTCGCAGTGTGGGCACGGGCTTGTTCCGCAGACTGGCCCGCATGTGCAGCTTGAAGTCCTCATCGAACCGTGGGTCACCCACCTTGAACTTGTCCGCTAGGAAGTGGACCTGAGAGCGGGAGGGGAGAAACCAAGCCTTTCTAAGGGAAACCACAAGTGAGGGCAACCTGAGGGAAGGCGTGAGGAAAGGTGGCTGCAGTTTCATGCCGTACGCTTATCTCTTCTTCCATAGCCCCGCACTCAACTGGCTTTCTCTCCACCCAACTCCAACCTCGCATGTCGTACCTGACTCGTACGGGGGTCCAGGGATACCTTGACGCTCAGCTGCGGCTGCATGTCCAGCCCCACAAGCTCAAACAGCGGCACACGCAGCACGAACTCGTCAGGGGCGGCCGGGGAGCGCGAGATCCAGCCTGGATCCAGCAGGGAATACTGGTCCAGGGGAAGCGCCAGGTAGGCTGAGAGGCCGCGCATGGTGGGGCCAGCGCCAGGGGGTTCCTGAAGGAGAGGGAGTAAGGGAAGAAGGGAAGCGTAGAGTGGTAAGGTGGTGGGAGAGGTCAGCGTGGAATGCCTGTGGACCATAGCGGATTTGGGATGGCGGTGGTTACGATGGGCTGGCCTAAGCACCGTGGTCAAGAAGGGGTAGGTAGCGGCAGGTAGCGGGGACGCCTGTGTGAAGGTGTAATTGTGCGCAAGGCAGGTAGCGGACGAATGTCGCTTTCTACACTGCGGTGACTGGGTAAACGCGAGCTGCCCTGCTAGTCGGTCAGCTTGGCCCAACCATGCCCATGAGGGCAATAATAATTCTGGTATCTAAAGATGCTTTGGTCGAAAACCCACCTTTACAAGTTTCTCTGCTTTGGCCGATGCCTTAAATGTAATGGGTCTACCAACAGGCAGGGCGTCGACTTCTGCCGCGCCATTACTGGTCGCCTCATCGTGGCGCGAGCGACGCTGGCGCTCACGCTTTTGCTGATGATCAACTAGATACTTATTGAGAGCCTGAACAGCATGTTCTATTGACTCGGTTGCAAAATCGCGATGTCGGCCAAGTGCCACAACAGTCTTCCTCCTACTGCCACAAGACAATAATGCTACCCGTTGACTACTGAATCGGTTAGATGCTACCGGTACCATGATGTTAATAAAACGGAGTAATGCGATATAACTGTTTAGAGGTTCACTTGTGCCCACTGTGAACGCCCACCGAGTGCGGATAGTCAACGCTAGGGCCGACGTCAATCGCCATCACAAAAGGTACTCAAGATACAATGGTATTCATCATAACAAGCAACAACGTATACACTTGCACTGTTAACAGATTTCGATTTCGCCGTACGCGCACCCCTCCGGACCTCGCGGAACGCGCCTAACATTTGCCAAGCCTCTACAATCCTATCACTCGCAATTAAGACGCTTAGTATGAATTGGGCTTAAACGCCTAAAAGTGTGGTGCCCCTGCCGTAGCCGTTAGCGGGCGTTAACGGTGCCACACCTGAAGTCGAGTCTTGGTCGACATTCCATGCAGCTCTTCTCCCTCATCAAAGGGGCCCCTGTAGCCCGCTGTGCTGCGTAACCGTGCAAACCTGCAGCATCTGAGGCACATTCCTGCACGAACCCACACGCCTCCCAAAGGGAATCCCTAGGGGGTATTCAAGTGATGTTCTTAATGGCAGGCAATGCGACAGCGCAATACGACTGCACACAGAGGATCACATATAGAAAAAAGTTAATAAACTCGCCATTAGATCACAGCACCCCTCAACCTGCACTATCACGAATGCCAATGGCAGCTACAATCAACGCCAATCGTTGCATGCAAACCCTTTATGCACAAGTCGAAAACAGCCTGAAGCCACGCGTCACAAGAAGCCCCTGCATGCCGTATGCGTTGCTCACCGCCGTCCTACGCAACGCTGCTACCAGTGCAAACTGCGACATAAACAAAAGGACACTACAACATACTACCCTCCTGCGCTCTCCTGCGCAAGTCCCTGACACCAACGGCCTCAGTCGTCGAACTGCGGCGGCGCAGGCAGCATCTGCGGCAGCAGGCCGGTCAGCCCCAGTCCTGTCAGCACCACCCGCTGCTGCATGAGCAGCTCGCCGTCGGGATCAGCGGGGAACCTGGGTGGTGTTGCATGCCGGAGGGGTATTGCGTGTCAGAAGGGTATTGCGTGTCAGCGTTTGTCTGCATGTGCATTGTCCCCTCCCCCCCCCCCGTCTAGGTGCTCACCGTGCGCATGTGACGTTATCGCCCCCCGGCACATGCAGCAGCTGCAGCGAGGTATCCGCCAGCACCACCGCCACCACCGCGTCACGTAGCGACACCTGGTCGCTGCCAACCAGGCGGGCGTGCGCCTGAGGGTGCCGACGGGGAAAGCAGGGGAAGCAGGTGCCCGGGTGCGGGGAGCAATGGCTGTGGGGTTAAACGCAAAGGGCTGTACAGGGACCCGGGGGCATATACTAGGGGGTTAGGAGGTGCGGGACAGGGTGGAAGGCAAGCTGAGGGTGGTGGACAAGGTGGGCATGGAGATGTGTTGTTGTTTAGAACTCTGGCCGCGAGTAGGAACGTACTGTGATTGTCGGAAGCTATGGTGTGTGTGCGGTACCTGCGACACGCGGATCAGGCTCTCCAGTGCGCGGATGGTCGACCTGCGAGCAAACCAAGTGGCACCGTCTGGGTGTGAGACAGCAGAACCGGATACGTGGCGCTATTGGCGCTGCTGCTGCTACTACCACCCGTACCTTGCTGCGCTGCGCTCCTCAGCTCGTCGCATGGCCCCGTAGTACGCCACAAGCACCCGCTCAGCCTGCATGTGGGCATGCGGTTAGCAGACTTGGTAGCGGTTAGGTGGGCGTTGTACCCGCCCTGCTGTGCATGTGGAACACAGGGACACCTGGAGCGCACGGCTAGGGGGGCAGCGCTTTCCCTCTTGGCCGAGCTCCACGTGTGGAAGCGTTGTCTAGAGAGAACGCCGCATGTGCGGCATCGGTGCCTAGGTACTAGGACTCCGCTTTCGAAGATTTCGGAGATTGCAGTTCGGAGCCTGGCGAAGCCACCGTGAACTCACCTCTGGAGTCATGACCGGGGCCGGCCGGCTGCGAGCCCACGAGATGTACGACCGGATGATGTCCAGCGTCCAGCCGCTGCCACCGCCCTGCCTGCTCGCTGTCTTGCCGTCAGCCGTCGCCGCCCCAGACCCGGCCCCAGGCCCGCCACAAGCTTCCCCATTCCTCCCATCAGCAGCGCTGCCTTTGCTTCCGTACGCCCCCCACGATGGCCCTTGCTGGCTAGCCGCCGCATGCGGCTGCGAAAAGGCTGAGGAAGCAGGAGGCGCCGGCGCCACGACGCCTGTCGTACCGCCCTGCAGGCGCAGCGCCACGCGCTGTGCAATGCTCATGCGGCTCTCGTCCACAACCCCGCCCGCCACGCCCCCTCCTGGAGCCGCTCCTCCTCCTCCTCCTGCAATGTTGGCCTGCGAACCAGAGGGCCGAAGCGCCTCATCCTCCCCATCGACCAACATGGGCTCCGGCGGCTGGGCTTGGAGGTCCGCCAGCAGCGGCACACCCCGCATGTGTTCCTGCGGGTCAGGCCCAGGCAGGTAAGCGCCCCCTTCCGCCTCCCCGCTTGCTGCTGGGGCTGCTGCTAGGGCTCCCCCGCGTGACAGCACATGCCCTGCCACCACCCGGTCCCACTCAGGGTGGCGGGGGTCCGCCAGCAGCAGCACCAGGTCGAAGCGCGACAGCAGCGGCCCCTCCAGGCCGGTGATCTCGGTGAGGGGGCGCGAGCAGGTGATGGTGGTGCCGGGGCGCGGGTTAATGGCGCCGATGATGGCGGTGCGGGTGTTGAGGCTGGTCACCAGGCCGGCCTGGGAAGGGGAAGGGAACAAGGAATGGGAAGGGTACATGTGAGCGGGAGAGGTTGTGATGGAATGGGTGGGTTGTGAATGCAAGGGGTGGTGTGGACGCGTTTAGGATGGCTAGGAGGGTGCTTGGGGCTTACCTTGGCGACGTGCACGGTCTGTTGCTCCATGGCCTGAACAGGAGAGAACGAAGAGCGAATGCGTTAGTTGGAGACGTGTCAGGAGGGCCTTGTCAGGGTTACGGCCCATGGGAGCAGCTGGCAGGGAATGAACGCCTTCACCTCGTGTATGACAGCGCGCTCCGCGGGCCTGATGCCGTCGAACTCGTCAATGCAGCAAAGCCCTCCGTCCGCCAGCACCTGCATACACGGACCGCTAGTAGCGCCGTTCACGTAAGTGAAATAAAAAATGCAGGTGCAGGTGCTTACACGGACCATGCGCGCACATGTCTCAAGCTCCTAACGCAGGCACAGCGGTTGCGTGCAGTTCCGCACCATGCAGCCCCGCACAGTCCGCACAAGCACAGTCCGCGCAACTCGCTCCCTAACTCACCAGCGCGCCCGCCTCCAGCGCCCAGCTATTGTTGCCATCACGCACCGCCGACACCGTGAGGCCCGCACCGCTGCTGCCGCGACCCGTCGTCAGCACTGCGCGGCCGGGACTGGCGCGGCAGGCCCACTTCATGAGCTGGGACTTGCCTGGGGCCGGACACAGAATCCCGTAGAAGGCGATATGTAACCTGATTAAACCCGCATGATAAACACGCAACCCACACGAGCCTGCCGTGGTTCCATGGATTCCCGCATGGTAGTGTCCTGAACGTACTCTGACGGTTACATTGTCAAGGCAACGTCAGATAGGCAGTCGGATATATGAAGTTATGGGAGTACTTGGTATGTCGTACGTTATACGTCGCACCTGTCCCAGGGTCTCCAACCAGCAGCAAGTGCAGCTCCCCACGTATGTGCGTGCCGCCCTCATCCCTCCGCGTCACGCCCCCGATCAGCACCAGCAGCGCAGCCAGCTTCACGGGCAGCAGCCCGGCAACACCGGGACACACGCCGGCCAGGATCTTGTTGCGGCCGGTGAGCGGCCGGTCCCTGTGCGCCGACCAGAACTCCTGTGGGGGTGGGTTGCAATGCAGACAGGGTAAACACATGAAGGGTGAGGAGGGAGTGTTGAGCACGTCATGGGGCCAGCCATGTGGAATGAAGGGAAGGGGGATTATTGCTTGGACGCTTTGGCCGGGCAATGCACATGGGCAGCTGGTCAGCCTGTTCCTGTTACTGCGCCGCCTGGGCATGGCTAGTACCGCTTCGAGCCACGCCATCACGTCACCAAGCCGCCTCCAGCCTACACGATAGCCTGACCCGGCCACAGGACGCCGCACCTCGAAGAGCTTTGCCAGCTCGGCCGACACCTCGTCTCCTCCCGCCCCGGCTGCGCCCCCGTTAGCAGCAGCAGGCAGGCCGCCCGGCAGCAGCTGCTGGTGCTGCCCGGCCGGCGGCAGCTCGCCCGCGTGCCGCCTGCGGTCGCGGTTGGCCTGGCAGAGCGCCACGTTGTTGGCCACCAGCACCAACTCCAGCTCGCAGCGGTGGCCGAGAGAGGTGCTGAGCCAGCGGGGCACCAGCACCCCCACGACATCGATGCAGTCTGCGGCAGCAGCAGGGGCAGGGGCAGCAGAAGCGCCGGTTGGGCGTATGGGGGCGTGTGGCAGATGTGGGTGGGGCATGTGACGATGTGAGGGAGGGTGTGACGCACGGGTGTGCCCCTGGGCAGTGGAGACACAGTAACAGCAAACAAGTCAACACAGTTGCAGCTGGCTGAGGCGGAACACAGCAAGCGGATAGCAAGCATCGCTCTGGAGGGCTACGCGTGCTGCTGGCGTATAGCTGGTGCGGCTGTCAGTCCTTACCGCCAGGCCTCACGGAGTCGGCGAGTTCATCCTGCATGGCAAAAAAGAGTCGCAGTCGCACTTAGGAATCGACAGAAGCACAAGCTTTGGGTGGCATTAATGCAAATGTCACGAGGCGGATGGAACTACACAAGGACGAACAGGCTCCCAACCCACAGCCCTATCACTGACCTGCAGTACAATCGTCAGCGACGCCGGAGGCTCGCCCAGTCCAAGGCAACGAGTAGCCGCCTGCGAGTCGCAGCAGCAGGACCGCGCCTGTATTCACTTGACAACATGGGGCTTGGCCGTGCCTCTCTTTTACCTGCAGTCGGAGCTCTTGGAACCCGCTGTAGATGCTGACGCCGGGTACCTGCACAAATTGAACGACGTACCCGCTGCCTCATGACGTCCGCTGCCGCTGCCTCACAAGTCATAAGCTGATAACCGCTCCGCACTGTGCCAATGCCAATGCGTGAGATGCAGCGTGCCGTACCTTTGTAAACTTGCTACCGGGACATGGTGGATTCCGCTGCACGGGAAGCCGATAACGCATTTGGATTAGCGACAAGCCTACAAAAGCAGCCATATTTGCGTTGAACAGCTGTTGAGAAGCAGCATTTGCAGTAGCTGCCGTACCATGTGTTTCCTCCCACCTGAATTGGGCATGCCTCGGGCACCTCCGCTGCCCCACCGCCCTCCAAGGAGCACTTCAAGGCAAACCTGCAAGCAAACACAGGACGACCCATGCTGATTTGCACTATAGCCCTGCCAGCAGGCAGCATGCAGAACAGCCTTGGATAGCAGCTATGCGTGCAGGGCGGCCGACCCAACACAACATGGTGTGCGACTTACACAGCTACCTACCGTCCTTTGCAGCGCGAGCATTCGTATAGCTGGTTGCTTTCCCACATCCGAACGGGCCCCGCTCGGACCACTGTGCCCGTCACGGACAGCAGCTGGTGCAGCTGGGCGCAGCCGACGCGAGACAAGGGCGGCCTTAGGGGGCTTGGCCGCGGGTCCAGCGAGGTTGGCAAACCCACTAGCCGTACATGCACGTTGTCATAAACGTTAAGGGGTATCTGAGCGTCGGCGGTTTGGTTCCCATGGGGCTCGTTTTCCGTGTGCTGCTTCTCAATTGTGTCCTTAAGCACCTGTGTGGTGAACAAGATGTTTGACGGTGATCTGAAAGGTCCTGCACCGCGGGGAAGGCTATTCGACACATGGGGCCCTGCGACGTGTAGCAGGCTTACCGACTGTGCTTGTACTGCGGCGTCGTCAAGAAGCGATAGCACCTCCAACGGTCGTAAGAACAGGGCCTCTGTAAGCTGTAAGACACACCATGTGTTAAGCAACTGCCCATACAAGCGGCCCACAGCAGGAACGGCCCGGGAAGGAGGTATGAACGACGCCGTACATTTCTTGCCTTACCTCAGGTTCACAGTCCGCCAAGGAGATTACTGATAGAGGCAGTCCGAGATGCTCCTCTGGTGCTGCATTGCAGCGAAGTACCCGCTCTAACTCCTGTCGGGGTGCATCCATGGCTGTTGCACGTAAGCTACAACAAAGGTACCGGTATAGTAATGACAGTATACACTACTGGCACATATACCTGCAAGTACGATTTCCGCAAGGCATGGGTAAGGATATTACCTGTGGACAGCACTTTAATAGGACACGCAGTGCAGCTGCGCGCATGGCCTCCATTGTGTCGCTGTGCCAGCCCTGACAACCCCTCACGGTAGAGAGTGCATCAAAAGCAAAAGTAGAGCAGGACAACGGTCAATAACGATATGGTGTCCTTGTTAGGGTGGCTCGCTAAGCAGGGTAGGTAATGCACAGTCCTGCAGTTGTTTATTATAGTTCGGCAAAGGCAAAAACGGTGGTGTTGGAATAAATAATGTCACAAGGGCGAACGCTAAAAGCAAGGTTTCAGTAAGCTGCTGGTGTCTGTCGCAAACTTTCATTTGTTGTACGGCACGCAGTAAATGGCTTAAAGGGTGTATGCAACCCCAAGCCTGAGTAAACCTCTATTCGAATACAAGCTATTGATGCATCTATAGATCTAGAAGACTAGCGTTAAAGCACCCAGGTCTCCACTGTATCAGACTCCCTTTCGCAAAGGCCCCACAGGGGCCGTTCGGCCACGATGGCCGACGTGTCCATAGATGTCCAACAATTCTGCCGGCGCTTAAAGCGACTCTATGACTGCTGGACGGTGCGTCGGCGCGCTAAACCTTTTTAAACAAGGAAGATCTTCCCCTACTGCGTTTCGTTTACTCCGGCAAGGCCAATTAGGATTGTTATTTCATAGGCAAGTAGCTTACACGGCTGGAACTTGTATTGTTTGGGTCGCGCAGAGCCAGCAAGATGGAGTATGGAGTGGCGCCAACGTGCTGGCGGTGGCGGTGGGCGCTCCCTCGGAGGATCTTCGTTACTTAAAGTCTAGTTCGCTTCACCTCTGGCTTTTCGGTTATGAGCTGCCAGGTGGGGTTGCCGTGCAACCGGGTGGCCTGCGCTGCGCAAAGCGTGTCTTTCCCCCTAGGGGTGTGGTACTGGATATTACGCTACTCCTGTCCGGCATTTGAGTGGCGTATCTGTATGGCTTGCCGTGCAGAGACGGTCATGCTCTTCACCAGGGCGCGCGTCCTCGTCCTCACGAGCCAGAAGAAAGGTGCGTAGCTAAATTGCAGTGGGGGAAAGTGGTGGGGGTGAGGGTGGGGGCGGGGGTGGGGGCGGGGGTGTCGCACTGACGGCTGATATATGGGCAGGGGTTAAGCTGGGTTTAGGCAACTTCGCATAAAGTCGGTTCGCCGGTAACTAATTGCCGTTATGCAACATGATAGTATGGGTGGGAATATCGTAACCGCCTGAGAGTCCAATTGAGTCGCCAAGCTGTTGCCCTACCCACCGCTCCCTTTTGCAGCCTCCCTGCTCCAGCCGGCCGTGGAGGCGTGCGCCAGGGGCGAGGCGGGCAGCGCGCGGGTGGAGATGCTGGTGAAGCCGAAAGCCGATGACGGAGCTGGCCTGGTAAGGGCACGGGCGGGGAATTTGCCAGGCCTATGATTGAGCACACCTGCTAACAGTCTGACCCACATGGGAAACCTTTAGTAACGAACGCCCTACCGCTGCCGTGTAGTGCGGGCAGCTGCTTGACGCCGCACGGGAGGCGGAGGCGCACCCAGTGCTGGGTCAGCTGCCAAAGGACAAGCACACGGGCAAGCTGATTGAGGTGTGGAATGCAGCGGTGGCGAACAGCGGCCTGCAGCAGGTGGACGTGAACGGCGGTGTGGCGGACCTGCTGGCCTGCAAGGATGCCAATGAGGTGGGTTGGACTGCTCTGACATGCTGGCCCCCACATGGGAGAGCGGGCGCGATGGTATAACTAGACACCCTATCGGGAGTGGGGACTAGCGTGGGGCGCCTTAGCGTTGCACACGGTGTCTTGTTTGACGGTCTCATCTCCAGTTGCATGTTGCTGACAGCTTGGCTGCACTAACGCAGATCCTGAACGTCAAGAAGGCCGCGCTGCTGGCTGCCAAGGCCATGCAGAACTGGGTTGTTCCCAAGGTGGAGGACGTGGTGGACTCCGGTGAGGCGTGCATGGCATTGGATTCACTACCGAGGGCCCCGCATTATGAAGGGAAGCGTTGTTGGGAATGTGTTATGACCTGAGGAAAGTTATGACGTGATTTCCACCTGCGTCCTCTCCCAACACTCCTCGCTCGGACCCGTCCGTACGACAGGCAAGAAGACGAAGCACAGCAAGCTCAGCGAGATGTGTGAGGAGGTGATCACGGACCCCACTAAGGTGGGTATCCGCCTCTTACCCCACCATTGGCAGCAGCTCTTTCTTCGCATTGTGGCCTCAGCGCGCATGGCAGTTCCACACTTACAGTGTTTTGACGTTCATGGCGCAGGTTCAAGTCAAGCTTAAGGCGGAGAATTGCGATATCGCCTACCCACCCAGCTTCCAAGTAAGGATACAGTTGATGAACGGGCAACCCGATTGTCACGGCTTTTAGCATGCTTCTACCTGTTCCACTGTCATGCCCCGTTTAACGCTTAACGCTTTCCCCAAACATGCAGTCCGGCGGATTATACGACCTGCGGGTGAACGCCCCGTCCAGCGACGCGCCCCTGCATGACGACGGCGTCATTGTCGTCTCGCTAGGTGCGTAAGCTGTACTTTGTAGAAGAAAGGCATCACAACCACAGGGTTCCAAACGTCGAGCTGCGATTGGTCTTATGGCAACACCTGAGCTCCAAACCGCGGCCTCTCCTCGCACGCAGGCACCCGCTACTCCTCCTACTGCGCGAACATCAGCCGCTCCTACATCATCAACCCCTCCAAGGAGCAAACAGCGCAGTACAACGCGCTGCTCGCCGCACAGGAGGCAGCCATAGCGGCGCTCCGGCCAGGCGCCCCCTTGACAGCGGCCGGCGAGGCCGTGGTCAACAAGCTTAAATCCATGGGGCAGGTGCGTCCTCTGCTGCTGTTTGTTCGCTTCCCATAAGTAGCCCAGGGAGTTTCCACTCCACTACCAACATAGGATGCTATCCTCACGCATGGCAAGGAGCTTGTCCTGCCTTCCTGTATATCAAAGACGTTGCCCACTAGATGTACGTTATCCTGTTCGCAGGAAGCGCTTGTGCCGCTGCTTTCGCGCAACGTCGGGTTCGGCATGGGCCTGGAGTTCAGGGAGGGCACGCACGTGCTGCCGCTGCCGGGGTCAGGCAAGGCGGCCGCGGCAGGCGAGGACGGCGCGCCCCGCGTGCGCCCGGGCATGGTCTTCAACGTCTGCCTGGGTGTTGTGGGCCTAAGTAACTCGGAGGCGAAGGACCCGAAGGCGCGCAACTACGCCTTGCAGGTACTGGGGGTTCGGTGATTGTAATCTTTGCCGTTTATAGGGCCACGGAAGGGGCCAATCAGCTGTAGGTTGTAACTGAAAGCAGAAACTGTGTTGCTGCGACGGTACTGGTCTATTGATGACGATGATGTGCGTCCATGTCCCGCAGATTGCGGACACGATCATTGTCGTGGATGGCGACCGGCCGAACGAGGTGGCCACCACGTCAGCGCCTAAGAACTTTGACAAAGTCACCTACACCATCCAGGTGAGGCCGTGGGGTGCATGGGTGCATGCATGGCGCTGCTGTGGCGTAAGCGCCTTCCACCATATCCTCCTTTTCTCCACGGCACGGTAACCAGGCATCCTCTCTTCTTGTGAACATAGGAGGACGAGGAAGGGGCGGGTGCGGATGGCCGGCTCGAGGACGTCACGAACGGCGCCGGGCCGAACCGCGGGTCGGCTGGTGCTGGAGCGGCGGCTGGGGGCTTCAAGAAGGCGCTGCGGTCGGACGACCCCACGTTCAAGTCTGCTGAGCAGCTCAGGTGTGTAGCGTTTGGAAGCAATGAGTTGAAAGCCATGGGTCTGCACCCTCTGGGGCAGCGGATTGAAGCTGCTGTCGCTGTATCACGGCATGACCGCCCGAAATTCGCCTGAATTCTCTGCAGGAAGGAGAAGCAGGAGGAGCTCCTGAAAAAGAAGAACGAGGAGACGCTACAACGCTTGACAGCCCAAGCCGGGGGGGCGGGTGGCGCCGCAGGCACCAGCGGGGCTGTTGGGCGGAAAATAAGCGAGACGCAAGCGTACCGCAGTGTCACGGAGATGCCCATTGCCCGAGACCTACGAGTCCAGGTGCGCGCCTTCTCCTACTCTTCCTATGACATGCAGGACCTGCCGTTTGGAGACTAGCTACTCTTGTAGTGATCATGCGTGTCCTCCCTGTCTTTACTTCTACTATGCTACTAGTGTCCGGTTTAATGCCATTCGTCCACGCCCTTGTTCGCAGGTGGACAGCAAGGCGGAGGCCGTGTTGCTGCCCATCTATGGCGTCCTGGTCCCCTTCCACATCACCACCATTCGCAACGTCACAACGACCAACGACGCTGGTGGCGACGCCGCACTGGTGGGTCGCCACAAGGGGATTTCGCTAACGCGCCAAAGCCCACACACCGTGTTGCCGTCTCTAAAGATTGCCAACTACAACGTCTGGATTGCCCGATGCAGGTCCGCGTCACGTTCAACCTAGGCCCCAGCTACGAGCCCAACCAGCGCTTCCCCAACGCCATCTTCCTCAAGGAGCTCTCCTTCAAGTACGTGGGGCTGAATTACCGCTGTGCCGGATCCCTCTTGCATGCATGATTAGGGAGGCCTGACGAACGGGCTCGCCTGATGCCACTTGTGCTGAAACATAGCCATGCAGATCAGACTACGTTGACGTCTACTCTCCAACCTGACCGGGCTCATGGTGCTCTGTCGCCACTGCCACCATAACCACTTATCCGCCCGCTTCCTGCCCTCCCGCAGGTCCACGGACGTGAAGCACGCCAACAAGGTAGCGCTAGACATCAAGCTGCTTCGCTCCTCCATTGCGCAGCGGGACAAGGAGCGGGCGGAGCGAGCAACGCTGGTGGCACAGGAGAAGCTGGTACGGCCCTGGAGAAGGCGTGGGATCTGGGTTGTGGCATGTTTTGCAGCTGTGCTCAGCTTGAAGCGTGGCATACCGGTAGCCGTCTTGAAACCTGTGCGTGTTTGCATGCGCATGTTTTTCACCCCAGGTCCGCGGGAAGAAGGTGTTCAAGCTGCCTGACCTGTGGATGCGGCCGGCATTCCCTGGCAAGGGCCGCAAGGTGCCCGGCTCGCTAGAGGCGCATGCAAACGGCTTCAGGTGAGTCCTTCCTCCCTACAGATGCAGCCCGGCCTCAGCGTCTGCCAAATTGGACTAGCTAGGGCTTGGCTTGCATGGCCTCGGTGTGCCACCCCTTTCCCATGCTGTCGTCCATTCTGTGCGCTGCAAGTGAAGGTATGGTCGGAAGTTAGATGTACGAACCCTTCGCTCCTTGCCCCTCCCGTAGGTACCAGACACCCAAGGGCGAGGTCCTGGACGTCATGTACCGCAATATCAAGCACGCGCTCTTCCAGCCGGCGGAGAACGAGATGATCACCATCCTCCACATGCACCTGCACAACCCCATCATGGTCGGGAACAAGAAGACCAAGGACGTTCAGTTCTACACTGAGGTACGGAAGAGAAGGCGCATGGGGCCCGCATGGCTGAAGGCGGATGGGGCTCCCATGGATGTGCGGTTCCCATGGTAGCCTGTTTCATGCAGATTGCTTGAACTCCTTCCATTGTGGCTTTCGGTCTGCATGCATACCTTGCCTCACTTTGGCATCTTTGCTGCCCTTGCTACCCGGCCTCCAGGTGATGGATGTCGTACAGACGCTGGATGGCGGCGGGCGGCGAAACATGTACGACCCGGACGAGCTGGAGGACGAGCAGCGCGAGCGCGAGCGGCGCAACAAGATCAACAACGAGTTCCAGCAGTTTGTTAAGCGGGTGCAGGTAAGGACGGGCCTTGCCACCTTGAGGTGGCTTCCCTGCCGTCTTTGCATGCCCTTTCAGGACAGTCCGCATAAGGACAAGCTACTGGCTGATGCGTGATGCCTGTCGTACAACTTTCCGTTTGCACGGACTCAGCTGAAAATGATTTGTGTGTGGCATTGCACAACGCAGGAGATGTGGAGCAAGGACTGCCCGGATCTCAGCCTGGAGTGGGACATCCCCTTCCGGGAGCTGGGCTTCAGTGGTGTGCCGCACAGGTCAGCCCCGCCATACCGACCGTCACCCTGAGGGAGCCTGCTTAGGGCGTGAACCCCATCCTATGCCAGCTCAGGATATAACACATTACATATACGGCAGGCATCTGCCTGATGATCCCGCGCTTCTCACTCGCACTCCTCACCCCCTTCCTCTCCCTGCTCTTCTGCCGTACTCACTTCCTGCTCTTCTGCCGTATTAACTCCCTGCTGCTCTGTCGTACAGGTCGACGGTGTTCATGATGCCCTCGGTGAACTGCCTGGTGGAGCTGACGGAGATGCCCTTCTCCGTCATCACGCTGGCGGACATTGAGATTGTCAACCTGGAGCGTGTGGGCTTCAACCTCAAGAACTTTGACATGGCCATCGTGTTCAAGGACTTCACGCGGGACGTGAGTAGTCGAGGAGGGGCATTGACGGGGTGTGGGCCTGATGAGGTTGGATTGCGGGGCTGTGATTGCAAGGATGCTTGGGACAGCCCTTGAAGGTGACGACGGAGAAGCTGCTGCCAGGTGCTTAACCAAAAAACGTTCAAATGTTGTATTCGTAGGTGCTCCGTATCGACGCCATCCCGTCCAAGAGCCTGGAGGGCATCAAGGTATGACGGGCATCGCTCTGGGTGTGGTGGTGTACCACTTTTGCATAGCCCTTACTAGCGCCTTTGGTTGGAACGGAGTGCTATACCTTGTTTACTCGTCTGTCGTGTCATATGGTTAGTGGGAATCCGCCTAGTTTCTTTCGTCGCTGCAGAAAACACGAACGAGAGCCCCTCTGTTAATCTTCATTATTGCAGGGATGGCTCACGGACATGGGCATCAAGTACTACGAGTCCAAGCTCAACTTGCAGTGGAAGCCCATCCTCAAGAACATCCTGGCGGACCCCGTGGGCTTTGTGGAGCAGGGCGGCTGGGACTTCCTCGACATGGAGGTACGGCAATGGAGGGGCGGGCTTTCAAGACAGTCAACAACAGACTGGTTGACTGTCATCCGGTTGTCACCATGCCTCTTTTATTGTGCTGCACCAGGCTGTAAGCCGCATGCTGCGCGGGCTCAGCGCGTTTTGGCCTGACATGCTTGTTTACTTGATGGCGTGTGCAGAAATCCGATGACGAGGAGGAGGAGGCCGAGGCGAGCGAGGAGTACGCGCCCTCTGGCGACGGAGACGACGATGACGAGAGCGAGAGTGACGACGAAGATGACAGCGACGATGCGAGCCTGGAGGAGGAGGTAAGCGAACATGAGTGGTGGGGGTTATCCCGCCTGTTGACCCGCTCGCTAGTCATACGCGCAGTTGCCCCGCTGGACAACATATGCTTGAAGGCTCTCACGCGTCTTAAAACAACAGTTAACATTGTCCCCTTTCTACGCCGTGCTTCAGGAGGATGACGATGAAGAGTACGGAGACGAGGATGAGAGCGAGGGCAAGGACTGGGACGAGCTGGAGGAGGAGGCGCGCAAGTGAGTATGGATGGCGTCCGGGTTTCCTTGTGCATGGCTACCGGTCGATTTCCTTGCAGTAACTGGAGGCGCGGATTATGCGTAGCACGACGAAAACACTGACTGGATTTCCCATGCTGTCCCCTTGCAATTGTAGTGCGGACAAGGCGCGCAGCTACTCGGACGACAGCGACGATGAGCGGCGTGGCAAGAAGCGGAAGGCACCTGGCGCTGGAGGTGGAGGAGCTGGCGCCGCTGCCGCTGCTAAGCGCCGGAGATGATCATGGGGCTATGTGGGATCATGGGAGGGTTGCACTGAATCGTGATGGGTTGTTCGGGGGCTTTGACTTTGTGTGCCTGTCGACGTGGGCTCGTAATTTTGGTTCCAGGTGGCCCATGTGCCGATCTGGATCCGTGTAGCTTTGCGCTTTGCCACTCATGCGGCTCAGCAGGTTGGCGCCGGCGTTCAGCCTTTGTTTACTAGGACTTGATGCCTTGAACGAATGAGATCTATTGCCCTCATCAGGGCCCCAGATGCAGCGTAATTCAGACGGCAGTCAGCCCGTCTTGGCTAACAGCAAGAGGGCCCATAGCGATTGTGCCATGGCGTGTCTGTGGGTACAAGTAGGAACACTTGAGAAGTGCCTAGTTGCACGTTTGCAAGTGCACCGACTGCCCGCTGCACTTGCAGACGCTCGTTGTTGGAGTCATACGGCACCTCGCCTGCACACCCATAGGACGCTGGGTACGGAAGGAACACAGGAACTTTCTCATGGCGGCACGGAAGGTCGTCGTTAGAAGGGTTTGGATCGGGCTGACTGTGTAATGTGTTTGGTAAGAAGGCCGCTACTGTGGTCCCATTCTTGGAAAGGTCGCCCCGTGTGATATACTCAATGATTCATCATGCTAAGCTACCACTGCTCCATCAACTAGAACCAGCAAAACGGCCTTGAATACCATGTGGCACCTGCAATGCGTGGGGTTCCAGCTGTACTTGGCCATGCCTTGCAACTATTACATCTTCCATCGGCAAGGCGCCTCACCTCAGGATACGCACCCTCCTTACAGAGCAGAAGCCGCCACCGTTCATACGACCCATGGACCCGGGCTCGAAAAGGCCCAACCTGGCCTTATGGGGCACCGAAGATTCCCGAATAGTTAATACTCGGCCGCCGCCGCAGTAAACGAAGGTCGCATGCTTAGAGGAACCTGAACTGCAGGACGCCTACTGGAGCGGATCTTTGCTGACTGGATCTGGCTTGATGTAGAATTCCTTGTTTTACCTTCATTACTATTATACCAGTTACTTGATACATAACTGATACATGGTACAACGCTTTACTCGATAGCGCTTACCGTATCGCCTTTTCCGGCGTTTTCACTTCTTACAAACGTAATGCATTAACTCTACACAACCTAAGCAGCAGCCTACTCTCTTACCTCCTACCATTTGTCCTTTACCGCACCTGACGGTGCAGCTTTGAAGTTCGAGCTGGGCCGGCTCCGATGTGGGGCTGGCTGCTTGCAGTGTTAACATGGGCCCAGCTGCAAGTAATTGAGCCAGTCGTCCGTTGGTGGGAGGAAGTGGTGCTTGGAAGCTGGGAAGAATGGGTTCTAGCGCTCGTTCGGCAGGGTTTCGAGGAGACAACACGCTTTCTCAATGGCCTTGGGGCCTGGTTCCTGTCTCTTTTTAGCAAGCACAGCTACCGCGAGCAGCTGAGGCGCTCATGGCAAGAAAACTCGTGGCAACAGTGGTGGGGCGAGGTTGCAAGGCGACCATCTACCTTAAATGCGCTGGTTGCGAACCTTGTCGCGCAGCAACAGCAAGCACACGGCAACAGTGAGTATGTCTAGATGCCTTTCATGTAGTATTTTCGTTCTGTATTCCCGTTCTGTGCTATTCGGCTATTAGCCTGTGATCTCGCTAGCAAGGTTGCCTGACGTGTTCGTCCTGCTTACCCTGAAAGCAAGTAAACTACAACGTTTGCGGGACATTCGTTCTTGCGCAGATCCGAGTTCATCGCCATATACACCTGCTGCCAACGGCGGACACCTTGGCCAGCCTAGCCTATCTGCACCTCCTCTTGATGCTGTCCTTGGCGACCCCTCTCAAGCGAACGGATCAGCCACCAGGCCGCTAAACCACCAGTTGGAGCCTGGCAGCGGCGCTACAAACGCGCCTGAGAGCGTTGCGCCTACCCAAGGCATGCGATCTGGCCCCTCAACTGCCGGGGCAAGCGCTTGGTGGCCCCGTCCTGCCACTCGCCTAGGCGGCCACCCTCCCGACGGCGCTCACCGCCCACATGGCGCACCCTCCTCGCTTGCTGCTAGACTGGAGCGGCCGGTGGTCTTCGTACAGCAGAGCGGTGAGGAGCATAAGCGTTGACTTGGGGGAGACTTTTTCAGCAGCGCTTAGGGTATTGCCAAGCGTCCAGAGATTTCCCTTGCTTGCTAGCTCACAACACCTTGCAATCTAACTGCCGCCCTCTTCCTTCCCATACCGCCTGCTAGGAATGGGCATCTTGGACGAGCTGGCAAAGCGACGACACGGCCTCATCGAGGACGCCAAGATGGCTGCACAGCTGGCCGTCAGCAGGTGAGGAGTGCATGCTGGCCTAGAGAACGGGCCACCTACCTGTATTCCCGGATCTCCCAAGCGCGGTTTGGCAAGACCGGCCATGCGTCCACTGTCAGCAGCCTGTTACTTTATCACTCTCCCGGTGTTTCTGCAGGGCATTTGAGATAGCGCGGTCCACGGTGCGAGCAGTGCTCTTCCTGCCTTCTCGCGAGGCTCTCGCTGCGGCTCAGCAACAGGGCTTTTCGAGGAGTGCAGATGGCGCCGGAGATGCAGCAGCCGAGCAGGGCGATGCAGGCCGGGATGTCGCCCCCTGGCGGCCCACGGATGGGGCCCCAGCAGCAACCGCCAGTGCAGCCGGCAGCGTGTCCTCCCGAGGGTCCCGCAGGGCACAGCTGAAGCGAAGCAAGAGCGCCCATGTAAACATAGTGAGTACCGTTCGGGGGGGTCGCAACCCCCCCCTGCATGTGCTTCGCTGCCTGGGTAAGCCCGCCTCCAGTTGAAATGGTCCGTGTTAGTCCTCATCGTGAGGACATGGGCACATGGACCGCTCTTACTACTACACCAATACCGGTACTATTTATTCACGGTGTTAGTAAGCTTCGAGGTCTGCTACCACGCAGGCTGAGATGGCCTACCAGCCGGGGGCGGGCGCGGGCGCTGCGGCGTCCAGCATAGCCCGGCGTGGCCTGCAGCGCTCCCGCAGCTTTGGCCGCCTCGGCAGCAGCACCAGCGCGTTTGGCTACCAGGCAACGGGTAAGACCCAATTCACACATCCCATTCCATTTCTCTCCATAGCCCTTCTGGAAGCTTCCGCCTCCAACCCAGTTGTCAGACCTTACGTGTAGCACCATGATCCAAGCTGCTTCCTTGCTTTTGCCTCCGCAGAGACTCCAAGCGACGCGCTCGCGGTGATCCGCGCCGCCGGCTACCCTCACGAGCTGCACACCGTCACGACGGAGGACGGCTACGTGCTGAGGCTGGAGCGCATTCCGCGTCCAGGCGCACGCGACGTGGTGTTCTTCATGCATGGCGTGCTGGACACCTCCATAGCCTGGGTCAGCGGCGGAGTAACGGGCAGCCAGGCGTTTGCAGCGTGGGAGGCGGGGATGGATGTGTGGCTTGGCAACAGCCGGGGCAATGCGCCAAGGCAGCACCAAGGTAAGGCGAGCGTTGGAAGGGGCGGTAGAGGATGCGCCCTGCTAATGGCTCGGTGGGCCTTCCTTTGGCCGTGACCCATTGAGTTTCAGATGTGGCGTATATAGATCCAGCAGCTGACTTAATTCGGGCACAAGAGGGCCTTACGCGCCCCGTGACGTGCTTGACGTCAGCCGCGGTACAGCTGCAGCAGCGCAACTTGCACACCGCTTTATTCCCGCCTCGCTTACTGCACCATGCGGCATGTTAGCGATCCTTGTCTACTGCAAACTCATAAGGCGTGTCCACAATACACGCCCTGCTAATGGCTCGGTGGGGATTTTTCAGCCATGACCCATTGAGTTTCAGATGCGGCGCATAGTAAAGCTCAGCAACGGACATCAAATCGTGCGCGAGAGGGCCTTACGGCCCGCTGACGTGCCTGACTATACCCGCGGTACAACTCGCCAGTCGGCTTGCCTTGCATTGGGACATTGCAACACCAATGCAATACCCATCCACTTCCTGCTTCCTCCGCTCATCCTGCTCACCCGGCTTGCTTCACTGCTCTCCCTAACCACCTAATGCGGAATATGTATCCCTATTAATTCCCAACCGCAGACCCGGCGCGTCGCGGGCGGCGGTACTGGCAGTACAACATCAACCACATGGGCATGTACGACATCGGCGCGCAGCTGGACCACATCCACAACGTCAAGTGCGCAGAGCTGGGCGCAGGTGTGTGTGGGTCGTCCTCCCTGGGCACCTTGTGGGAGGCTACACAGGCTTCTTCATAGCGACTTTTTTCACGGCCTTTGTTAAGGGCATGGTTGGCGTTTTTTGCATGACGAAAGCTTTTACGGTTACCTTACGGAAGCCCCGAACCTTACATGCTCTCAGCGAACGGCACTAACGCTGACGCGTCTGGTTTGGGCTGTCCCCTGCGCTTTATATGCAGGCAACGTCACGTTAGACCTGGACCACCTAGGCCCGCTGGCAGGCAGCTTCTTCGGGGGCGGTGCGGCCGGAGAGGCGAGTCGGCTGCTGCCGGGGCGAGCCATCAGCACCGGAGCTGGTCGGCACGAGGAGACGGCGTTGCGGGGACTGGCTGCAGGGGCACGAAGCTCAGTCAGGTGAGGTTGACTGAAAAAGGCTGGTTGATGCTGCACATGCCAGATGATGACTGGTTGCCCAAGCACGTATGGTTGTCCGCGCCTTCATGCCGAGAACTGTGTCCTAGCCCGTTTCCTTGTCAACTTCGTAAAACCTTAGCTTGATTGGCGGGTGTGCTCCCGTCTGTCACCACAGGATCCGGCACTCCAACAGCGACGGCAACCTCTACCGCTGGGGCAGCGCCCACAGCGCCGCCAGCAGCAGCGACGCCAGCGCGGCTGCGGGGCCGCTCCGAGGGGCTGCGGCCGCCTCTCGACCCTCCCCAGCTGCACCATCCGCAACCATGGACGACGACCATGTCGGTTCCGGTCCTGACGCCACTGTATCCGAGGGCAGCAGCAACGGGGTCGCCGTAGCGTCCGATGACGCTGCTGCTGCTCCTGTCCTGTCGGCGCCGCAACGCCCCCATCGTACGCCTGATCCAGCTTTCCCTTCTGCTCCCTCTGCTGGTCTTAGCGCTGCCAGTCTGAGCCACGCACCCAGCAGTCACGGCCCGCTGTCCCCCATGCACAGCTGCGATGGCAGTCTGCAGGATGGCGGCGCTGGCAGTGGTAGCGAAGGTGGGTCGAGGGAAAAGCAGCTGGCAGGCGATGCGTGCCCGGACAGCGCTGGAGTGGAGCATGCGAGGCAGCAGCAGCAGCACGCGGGGGCCTGCAGGCGTCCGTCTGCCACCACCATCCCCACCCTTCCCTCCCCCTCCGCAGCAGCTGCTTCCTCTGCTGCCGCATCATCTTCCCCTTCTACCTCCTCTCCTCGCAGCCTCACACGCTCATCAGCGCCCCTGCCGGCCATGCACCGCAACGCAGTAACCCTCACGGTTGCATCACCTCTGCGAGGAGCGGCAGGTGGGGCCTTTCTGGACGCCGCGGCCTTAGTGGACCTGGAAGGGCATCGGCCTAGGGCTGGGACCATGACACCTGAGGCTTCCGGCGGCACCGCTGGTATGACCACCTTTACCTTGGAAGCCAAGACTCGCGCGGACTTTGGCACCCACAGTGCAGCTGCTGCACACGGCGGCGGTAGCGGCGCTGCTGTTGCGTCTGGCGGCGGCACGGAAGGTGGCGGTCGTCGGATGAGTGGCAGCGGCGTCAGCGCCGCTGCCTCTGTTCTGGACGCGGTGGGGTCGGTGTTGGGCCCGGCGGCAGATGCGGTCACGCTGGCTGTGGCCTCTGCTGCCGCTACTGCTGGCGCTGCCATTGCCACTGCTGCTGCTTCCGCAACCCAGCTGCTACAGCCGCTGCAGCAGGCTGCGTCGCAACGCTTTGAGTCAGCGCCGGATGCCGGGACAGCACCCTCTGATAGCACGCCCTTTGCGACTGTGTCCGCTCAGGGTGCTGACGCCGCTGATGTTGAGCGTCAGGATGCCTCAGGACCCGCCGCTTTGGGCCAACAGCCCCGTAAGTCTAGCTCTGACCTCCCCTGGCTCGACGGCATGCATGCGGGGTCCCAGCAGCCGCGTGCGTACCCCGCTGGGCCGGTGCCGCATCCGCAGCCCGCCACGGCTTCACCTCCCTTCTCACCGTCCGCCTCCTCTGGTGTTCCTCTTTCCAGCGACGTAGCAGCAACGCAGGAGCCGGTTCCAGCAGCCGCATCCGTCACCCGCCAGGCAACGTTACCAGTCCCTCCCCTGGGCTTCTTGCATCCCGTCGCCCCTGCCTCAGCCGGCTCCTCCTTCCGCCGCGCCTGCAGCACAAATTACCTGCCTAGTACCTCTGGCGCTTATGGCTACGGCACCACAAGTCTTGCTGCTGCTTCCGCAGCCCAGCTGGGCCTGCCGCCCGCTTCCATGCTGCTCACCTCACCGGAGCGAGCTGGCAGCGGCTTCTCAACAACCGGCTCGCAATCCTCAGCCAGCGACACCGCAGCAGCAGCACCCACAACAACATCAGGGTCAACAGCTCATGCCGCCAATGGACCATGGTTCCATGCCGGCGGTGCTTCTCCCTATGGCGGAAGCTTAGACCACGTGCGCTGCCACCACCACCACCCAGCAGGTGCTCATGGTCATGCCCATGCCCATGGCGACCCGATGGCCGCAGCTGCGTTGCCGCCGCTTCCGCCCCCGCCTCCGTACAAGCTGCGTGCCGTGGCTCACAGCCTGGGCGGCATGTCCATGCTGATCCACCTGGTCAACCGACTGAGGGAGGGCCGGCCGCACAACGTGAGCCGGCTGCTGCTGCTCACGCCGGCCGGCTTCCACAAACACTGCCCCAAGGTAAGTGCGGAGGCAGTGGTTTGGGAGTGTAGGCGGCCCGGACATGGTAGGGACTGCTCCTGTGTGCCTTTCTGGTAATGGCTAATGGCTATTGGGTTCCTAGCTGGCTTTAATGGTGCTGATGGCACTTAATTGGTATGCGCCCTGCTAATGGCTCGGTGGGCCATTGACCGTGACCCATTGAGTTTCAGATGCGGCGTATATTGAATCCAGAAGCTGACTTAGTACGGGCACAAGAGGGCCTAACACGCTCCCTGATGTGCTTGTTGCCAGCCGCGGTACAATGATTGTAGCGCAATACGCATGCTGCTTGTGTGTATCCTTCATTCCGATTTGTGGCGCGCGTGATGAATCCCCGCTGTACTGCGTCTTGAACCACCCCGACCGGAATGACTTGCTTCGCACCTGCAAACCACCATGATCACTGAAATGCGCCCTGCTAATGGCTCGGTGGGCCTCTTTGGCCGTGACCCATTGAGTTTCAGATGCGGCGCATAGTGACACCCAACAGCGGACTAAAAACGGGCACGAGAGGGCCTTTTGCAGCCCGCTGACGTGCTTGACGTTAGCCGCGGTACAAGCTCACGCTATAGCTTAGAGCCGACTGTGACCCACGCATGTCAGCACCCACTCTTTGTCTTTAGCGAACCTCGGCATGATTGGCTTCTCAACCAGTGTCTTTCATATATAACACACATTCGACACAACCTTATCGCACTTCCTCCTTAAGCAAACATTACCACTCCCGCCATCCACTTCCTCCTGCAGGCCTCCAAGCCAGTCATGTGGACTCTGCCGATCATCACCCGCGTCGTTCGCGCCTTCTTTGGCCGCACCTTCTGCTTCCCGCTCTACATCCCCACCTTCCTGGGCCGCGCGCTTACCTTCAAGATGCTGCTGTCAGCCAGCCGCATTCCCGGGCTAGGAGAGCTGCTGCGGGTGGTGTTCAAGGTAGGCAAGGGTGTGGGTAGGGGGTGGTGAAGAGCGATGAGTTCAGGAAAACAACTTACTACGTGCAAAGTGAGGCAATTTCAAGAATGTAATGTTTCTTGGAAACGTCAAAATGTGCCCTGCTAATGGCTCGGTGGGGATTTTTCAGCCATGACCCATTGAGTTTCAGATGCGGCGCATAGTAAAGCTCAGCAACGGACATCAAATCATGCGCGAGAGGGCCTTACCAGCCCGCTGACGTGCCTGACTATACCCGCGGTACACAACCTTGCTTAAAAAAACAGTCACCCGCACTACAATCACTTTCCAAAAATAGGCTGCCCGGTCGTTGTCCATCTCCTTTTTACCTATCTGACAACATGTTGCGTTAAGTCTTGTTAACCTTTTGGCATCCCGCTCGTCCCCCTCCCCTGCACCATGTGCCCATTACCGCGGCCCCCAGGCGCTGCTGGACGGCGACATCAGCCAGTGGGACCGGGCCATGCAGATGCCGCACTACAGCGCCGAAGACATGCCGGCCATCTCAGTAGACCAGGGTAAGGGCCTTATGGAATGTTGCCTGCATCGTTGGGAATCATGTGCCCACTTGCTTGCGTTCCTGGGGACAGGGATTCGCGAGTCAGGCGGCATCCGCGACCTCGTCCTTCTATTGCCTTTCGATCATCCTCATTAAGCTTCTTCAGCTCTCACCTAGCGTCCTAGCATCACGTCCTAGCCACCCTCTCCACCACCACCACCACCACCACCCACGCCTACCCCCCCTCGCAGTGCTGCACCTCATCCAGCTGGTCAACAGCGACTCATTCCGACTGTACGACTACGGCTCTCCGGCCGCCAACACCGCGCACTACGGCAGCCCCGCACCGCCCGACGTGGCGTCCGAGTACTGGCGTCTCGACCTGCCGGTACACCTGGTGGCGGGGCGCAGGGACGGCATCATACCGGCGCCCAACATACGCAGGCACCTGGATGCCATGCGGGCGCAGGTGGGGGGGAGGGAAGATGTGAATGGAGGGGAAGGAAGCGAGGGATTTCATTCCGCCTGAACCGGTGGTAAATGATTAACTGGCCGCAAAACTGGCACGGACCGGGGGGTGTACACGGGTGTGCTCTTGCTTGTCAGCATGTGTACCTCCTCCGTCCTCACCCTCACTGACTTGCATGCGCGTGCTGCTGCCACGGGCGCTGCAGGGTGTAGCGGTGAGCTACCGTGAGTTCGACTTCGGGCACCTGGACTTTACCTTTGGAGTCAAGGAGGAGCTGCGGATGTACCTCATGCGGGTGCTCAGGATGTGAGGGGGGGGAGACTGTGGGGGGAGGGTGTGGACACGCAGCGGATTGGCGTAACAGAAGCACCCATACGCCAGCACGTGACAGTACCCCAGTCTACGTGGATACCGCATCAGGAAGCCGCCGTCAGATGATCGCAGCCTGATGTGGGTCAACAGGGTGTGTGGATGTGGCTTATGTTGATGTGTACATGTGGCATCATGACTTCATGAGGTGTCTGCTGCGTTCCCAGCTACAGGGCAGAACCGAATCGTCCGGCAGGAGGTGCAAGGCGCGCCGAGAGGGGTGCTTGCTCGCTTGCTTTCCTTTCGTAAGTTTCGGCAGTGGGGCAGTGCTTGGGAGGAAGGTCTCTGAGAAGAAGGAGCGGAACGCGAATGGGATCGTAGCGGAGCGTAGGAAGCGGATTGTGTATGGCCTGGTGGCTGCTGAGGAGAGGTCGGATGGGTGTTAGTCACATGTTGGGTTGGGTTGGAGTTGATGTGGTGTATCTTGAAGAGTTGTACATCTAGCAGTTAAAATTGTCATGTGCGAGAGTTAACAAGCCTTATGACAATGACCGAGCATTGCTTTAGGAGACGGAGGCCTTCCTGCCTGACAGAGCGGTCAAACACACTGCAACACTGCTGAAACAGATACGCGAGAGGTTGTGTGACGAATGTATAGCTTTTATTCGACACAACCCAAATTTCCAAGTGTTGTTCGCGTGTTTGAGTGTTTTGATTGGAGCTTGGATCCAGGTGTGAATGACTTGCCTGGGCCAGCTGGCGACTGTACGGCACACACGCCTGGGAGGCTGTTGCATGGTTGGTTCGTTATGTGCTTATGTCACGGCCTCGAATGCGAGGAAGGGCACTTGCTCTTGACACTTCCCGTAGACCACAATTTATACTGTGCTTGCCGCGAGAACGGGCGCCGCATCCATTATGCCGTCCCTCGCTAAAGCGCCTGCTGATATATCTCAGGTGCTTCATACTGGCAACGACTGGTAGGGGAGGGGAAGGGCGGGTGCTTCTTCATGGCGCAAGCCGGGCGGCCTACTTTGGCCTGATTGTCGCTTTGCTTTCTTTCCTTTCCTTATTAGCGCTGGTTTAGGTCTTCATCTCATGGTTTCTGCGGGCATGCTGCTATCTTGCTGAAGCGGCAGCCCTACAGAAACCCGCTGCGTTGCGACCGCCAGGGCTTGTAGGTGGGTGTTTTCCTTTGTTTCATGTGATGGTACCGTCATTGGTCCCAACGGTAGAAGCTGATGTCATCATGTGTTTGGTCGTGGTCGTGCCGAGTGTACAATAGGGTGCTGCTGTAGCCGTACAATAGGGTGCTGCTGTGTTTTGGGGTAGTGAGAAGTTCCGGGCCTCAGGAGCGCGTTGCAGCGGTTTTGTAGGATGGAGCCACAACATAACAGTGAATGGGTTGGGGGTAGACACGAAGCTTGACATCTAGATGATGCATGTTGACGTGTGACATTTTGCGTGCAAATGCGTGCACATAAAAGGCAGTCGATACCCAGGGAACTTAAAAGCAGGGGCGCCGTTTTGCCCGAGTGCGACGTAACGGGATGGCTATGGTTGCTTAATACGGTGACGATAGAAGGTAGCGTTACAAGGGTTTTGAGTTACCGGTAACCTGTGCTGTAATTCGACGTATTCGAATTTTCCGAAGAAGAGGCGGCGCAACATTTTGGATGAAGCGTGGTTGATTCGCATCGGGGGAATTCAGAAGGATGGTATCTATCTGGAAGGTGTTATGGTAGGGCATGGAGGGGGAAATGCTGTGCGGTGAATTGCATGTTACCCGGTGTCCTTGGGTGCGCGTGTGGGAGCATTGATTCTGGCTGTAATGGGAGTAGGCTTCACCCCCCAGTTATGGGGGTGAAACGTCGAACGGGAAACCCTTACAACAGGCACGCGTAATGACCCGCGGGTCGCAATCAGGCATTCACCACCAACGCAGCGGATAGTTATACAGGCCAAATAGCGATGCCCAGCACAGCATTGTAACAGCTAGCGCACAGCTAATCCCACCCAATCAAGCCACTGAACAACCGTCAATCGTCAAACAGGTTGCCTTGTGTCACAGCTATAGTACGAACCAAACCCAGCCGCTTCAACCTGTCCACCACCCATCCAACTCCTTCCGTCCTCGCAGGTTATCCTAACTATAGCAAACCGCCGCATCGAGTAACTCATTCCTGTCCGACAATTGAACAGTCATGCGCAGGTCTTGATTGTCATGCGTGTGTCTTGATTGCTCAGTTTCCGTCTGCTGCTGCTATAGAGCCGTTAGCAGCACAGAAGCAGTTCCAACCACAATTGCGCAGGGTTATGGTTAGCAGTACTGATTGTCGTACATACGCCTACACTACCGCAACTTCTGCTGCTGCTGCTGTTCTGGTTGTTACTGTTGCTGGATCTGTTGCTCCTCCATCCATGCCCGGAACTTATTCATGTACTCGGCGCCTGCAACGAGGGACGCCCGGCTTTCTGCCTCACCCCAGTCCACGGGACAGCCCAGCTCCAGCAGCAAGCGCAGCACCTCCAAGGGACGACCCCTGCAAACACATTCGGTGAAGGTCCCATGCGATCCCCAGGGGCAGCCCAGCCGGTGCAGGCAGCGCAGTGTGGCCAGGTCGCCGTTGCTGGCAGCATCTCTGTAGGCGTCGCCGCTTGCCTGCAGTCAGGTCAAGAGGTCAGCGAGTTCCGCCCTGTCACTTGAGCCAGGGATCAGGAAACCGGCCCCATTGATTCGCTTCCAATACCTTCCAGTGATACATGTGAAGAGGCTTCTGCATACACTATTCCGATCTCCCAGACAGTTTGACTACTACAGTACCTGCTCCTTTCCTCCAAACTCACCCCCCAGGGGCAGCCCTGCTCCACAAGCCACTCCAGCGCCTCCTCGCAGCCCGCCAGCGCGGCCGTGGTGAGGGTGCGCTCATTCCAGGGGCAGCCAAGTTGCCACAGCCACCTCAGCAGCTCCAGGTTGCCCGACCCGGCTGCATCAGCGAAGATGTCAGTTGTCATGTTCGCCCCCACCTCCTCCACCAGCCAAGCCACCAAATGCAGGTGCCCATACCTAGCAGCAGCAGCAGCACTGATGATGCTTGCACCATCACCCAGACCCATGCGGTCGTGCAGCCACTGCAGAACGGCCAGGTGGCCATCCTTCGCCGCCTCCCAGAGAGCTAGCTGGAGGGCCTGGGCAACAGGGTGTGCAAAAAGCTCAGGATCTACACCCAGGTACTCCAGAGCGGCGATGTTTCCCTGCCCTAGCGCTGAATAGAAAGCCTCCTCGTTCACCGGGTAGCCCCGCTGCCGTAGCCACGTCAGGCGGCTCAGTGCATCTGAGCACCTGGCAGCTTGGACACATGCGAAGGGGTCCTTGGGGCAGCCCCGCTCCTCCAGCCACAGCACCTTGTCCTGCCAGTCGGGGGTGGGACTGGCGGCAGCGGCTGAGAGTAGGTGACTTTTGCCATGCGTCTCCAGGTGCTGCCAGTTGCCGTACAGCTTCTGCAGTGTCGCCAGGTCGCGATCTCGAACTACTGCCTTGTAAAGATCGAAATGGGAAGCGAAGAGGTGCTCTGGTCTGTGCACTAGCAGCCACTCCATCAGGTCCTCATGGCCCCCTTGCGCCGCAGCGCGCACAGATTCCAGGTCACTGGGGCAGCCGGCAGCCAGCAGCCACTCGCAAGCCACCCGCTGCCCTGCCCTTGCAGCTGCAGCCATTGCGTTACCCCAGGGGCATCCCTGCTGCCGCAGACACTGGCATGCCTCCAGCTGCCCTGCGGCTGCCGCTGCCTCGAGCACACAACCCTTTAGGAGGCATCCCACGTGGGCCGCTACCACCTGAAGGTTGGGGAGGCTGCCGGAGGAGGCGGTCAGGCACAGCAGCTGCTGGCGTTGCTTCAGCGTCAGCCCCCGCATGGCGCCCGGACTGCCCCAGCGCTGCGCAAAGGCGTGCGGAGGAGAAGAGTGCGATAGCCGCACCGTACGAAACTGAGGGCCACGGAAATGCGCAGCAGTAGCCTTGTTGATGAGGCGGCCTGTGAGCGCAATTTCGTTGGCTGGCAGGAAGCGCACGATTGAGGCCAAAAGCTCGGGCGGCAAGTTGCGCATGGCTTCCAGGTCAAGCTTTGGCAAAACTGGATGGTCACTTTGTTCAGCCATGGGAGCAGCAACGTCTTGCAGGCGTTTAAGGTTGGCTTTCTTTGCCCTGCACGAAGCTGTGCGAAGCTGTAGGTTGGAGGTGCTTAGCGATTGGTTGCTTTGGCGAATTCGTTAGTCAGCGTGCTTTGACGCCACTGATACAAGGATTCATCCTGACATTGGAATAATCAGGACATATATTTGGGTGTTGCTCATGCAACAGCCGTCCTTTCACATGTCAAGCGCACGGCAACAGTTAATACCGATAAGCTTTTGTTTACTAGCTAGCTTTACGTAGATACTCCACTTTTGCGTTGTTGAGTTAAGCAACTCAAGGGTCAGCCAGGGGGGGGGGTAAGAAATTTTCTTATAAACCCCAACCCGAAATTTCCAAAGAGAAGGCCTCGGAGCCACCCACCCACCGCCAAGCGTGTCGTACAATCTGCAAACAATGCCAAAACGCCGGGGGAAAAAGCGTCTAGGTTCCTCTGCGCAAGCTCTATTAAATGCAGTCGAAAAACCCCAAACCCCCTGGGAAGTTAATGTCACAGCGTTGCACTATGGATGGCTAAGGTAACCATGTTCTTGGCCCCAGCTTGACTGATGTTGTGTATTTGGCGCCTAGGAAGCACCACGGCCCTTCCATTTGCGCCATGCCACCGCCAGTTCTGTTTTCACCAACCGAGACAACGGCGCTACCACGTTCCAGGTCCCTGCTCCTGCCTCTTCTTCCCCCTGTGGCACTGGGCCCTCGACCATAGCCCCTGGCACCAATTCCCACGCCTTCTTGTTTCTGTGCTCTGCATCCCCACCCCATTCGAAGTCACTGTAAGTGCTTTCTCGCAGCTCAGTCTGTCTACTCCAACCCCGCATCCTCAGTCGTGTTCCACATCCATGGGGACATGCGACATGCTGCTATGCTAGGCCTTTACAAAGGGCCGACTAGCCGCGTTCGCAATATATGTTTTCTACATAAGTTGTTTCTTGTACGTTTGGGGATTGGGCAGTTCCGTTCGGCTACCGTGGTTCAGAGGTGAACTGTCATTGGAACATCGGAAGCCGAGAAGTGACCATTTTGTTGATAGAATTAATCCTTCGTATAAGAAACGAAGAAAGGATGGCAATACAGCTTTCAAAACCCTAACACGAGGCCTGGAAAAAATTTTCCGGAGGTTCATGTAAAAAAGTCGTTGGGGCCCTAAACCCACCCACCCACCCCTGCCGTACAACCAACTTTGCAAGCCCAAAACTTTTTCCGTACAACTCCAAACAGAAATCTGAAAGCAGATTCGGAATCCCCACGCAAAACTCCTTCGATTTGAGGGTTGGGGTCTATTTTTGCGGTTCTTACCCCCCCCCCTGGGTCAGCGTACGTAAACCGCTGGCACCTACGTGTTATGGCAGCAAGCAGTCCCCATCGGCAGCGTGCGTGGGTTGCGGTAACAAGTATGGGCGTGCGAAATAGCAAAACGTACAGCGTGAAAAAATGAAGGGGCTCCGAATGGGTATCTAGGCAGACCGGAACACCCGTCGCAATTGCGAACGCCATTAACACTTGTCGACAATAATTGCTTTTACCAATGCTACCTTCTTGTCAGCATGCAAGAAAACTTTGAAATGGCGAGTCCTAAGGTGCATTTGTGCAGGGAAACTGCACTGCTGCAAGCGATGTGATCTACATTGCAGGGCAAGGCACAGTGGGCAGAAGCTTGCCCGCAAGGAGACTCCGGCTACGCCACTTTCAACAAGTGCATGTCTAGTTTGCGTCCGGTCTGGCACTCCGGATGCGTTAAAAAAGATGGCGCTCCGATACCCACGACTTTAGCAAGGCCCACGACGCCTTTTCCTATATCCGAGCGAGATTTACAGTCTATCATATAGGGGCGGCAGAGGATGGGCCCTTATAATTAAGGTCACCTGCCGCCCCTCTGAAGTCAGCTCGCCGTCGCCGTTGACGGCGCCGCGGCTGCCCTCACTCGGTCGGATGCGCAGCCATTACTCGATACCGACGCGTCGCTGTGCCTTCAGCGGCGCGTCGATTTCTTTCCATGGAGGACAAGGCGCCTCAATACGGAAGCGGTGTGTTCCGGTCGCCGCAGCCGCCGCCTCGCAATTCCCATCGGCTTCAACGTCGTCGCAAGACCCGGCAGATGTCCCAGAGCTAGTGTCCTGGGTGCATCAACGCAACGGATTGGTTCATGGAGCGACTTTGGCGAACCTCGCTGGACGTGACGGCGCCGCAGGATGGGGCCTGAAGGCATCGCAAGTAAGGACTTCATGCTTCTTCGGCTTCCACTCATGCATTTACCTGACTTTGTCTTTGCTTTCTTTTGTAGGATGTAGAGAAGGGACATCGCCTTATTCTCCTGCCTCCTTCACTCCATCTGACCTATGGTCCGCAAGATGATCCGCGGCTTCTATCGCTCATCGACAAGGTTCCTAAGGATCTTCGAGGCGCCAAGCTTGCTTTACAACTCCTTGCACAACGCGTTCGTGGTTCGGACTCTCCCTTCGCCGAGTACATCGCTCATCTTCCCAAGGGCGTCTCCGGCATCCCAATGTTCTTCAGCAAGCGAGCCATCCAGCTCATCGACTATCCTCCTGTTTCTGAACAAGTAAAGAAGCGCTGCAAATGGCTTTACGACTTCAGCCAGCAGGTCTTGTCGAAATTGCCGGGCACGCCTGAGGACCCTTTTGGTGGCGTGCCTATTGACATTAACGCGTTAGGTTGGGCGATGGCCTGCGTCACCTCCCGCGCCTTCCGCACCCGCGGTCCTGCACAACCGTCAGCCATGCTCCCACTCATCGACATGGCGAACCACTCCTTCGAGCCAAACGCTGAGGTGCTTCCTATCAGTGGCGGGGCTCTCGGCCTCTTTGCTAAACGCAAGGTGAGGCATGGTATACGCTCTTTGGACATGCATGGTTCCGAGTACTTGAGGCTGATCTGGGGATGCATTTGGACGTAATATCTGAAGTTGAGCTGTTTAATAACCTTACCTCCTTCTGCCACCATGATTTGCAGATCGCTGCTATGGAGCCGCTGCTGCTCTCGTACGGCAACCTCGGCAACGACTTTCTCTTCATGGATTATGGATTCATCGTGCCGGACAATCCGTACGACTCGGTGCAGCTACGGTTCGACATCGGGCTGCTGCAGGTGGGCTGGGAAAGGGATGGGTTGAACTGACAGCGCCGTACCGTACCATTCATGCGTAACACATCATGCATCCTTCATGTATTTTGCATATTTCGCTTGCCTTTGCATTGTAAGGATCCAGAGAGAGGCATGATGACACCAGCTGGCACCAGTCTGTGGGGGCAGGTCCACAACAACCTTGCCCCCGATGATGTGATTATCTATTGGAGCTGTCTGACCTCTCTCTCTTGCAACATCGCATCACACCATCATAGCCTTATGGTGTCACTCTTTTCCATGGACTCGTACAGTCATTTCACCAGCTTGCGTGCATTATCCGAGGGAGGTGACGACAATTTTGTTGGCACCAGATCTGAGTCGCGACACTGACGATCAACATTTACTGCTGTAACTGATCCCTCCTCACCGCACTCATCAAACGCACACAGTCTGCATCCTTCCCGCATCCTGGCGTCGCCCTTCAATCCTGCCGGTCTGACGTTCCTCTTGTTTCCTCTTGCCTCTTGCCTCTGCTTCTCTCCAGGCCGGTTGCGTGATCACCAACGTCACCGACTCCCAAGGCGCTCCCCTGGACCTCTCCCCCACACCCTGGCGGCTTGCGGCTCTCTCCGAGTTGCGTCTCCACGGCCCCGACGCCAACCTCGAGCTCACCTTGGGTGCTCAACAACGACGTACCAACAACAACCCTGCCAGTGCCGGTGTCGCTAGCGATGATTTCACCAAGAAGGGGGAGCAGCAACATACGGAGGAGTTGCTTGATGGTCGGCTGCTGGCTGCAGCACGCATCATGGTGGCAAAGCACGAGGGCGAGGTGGCGGGTCGCAGTGCGGATCGGTTGTGTGCGGTGGATAAGCCGCTGAGTCGGGAGAACGAGCTGGCTGCGTTGCGTGTTGTGGCGGGTGTGGTAGCGGTGGCCTTGTCGAATTTTGGTACGACATTGGATCAAGATTTGGCGTTGTTGGATGGCCGGGTGCCAGAGGTTGCTGATGCGGAAGGCGCAAGCGCTGAGTCGTTGACTGGGCAGCAGGGGTTGCTTGAGCCGTTGACGAGTGAGGATGAGGTGCTTGCGGTTCGCTTCCGAGTTGAAAAGAAGAAGATTCTGAGCCGGACGTTGCAGCGTGTGGCTGCCTTGACGAAGGCTGTTGCGAGTAACAAGAAGGTTCGGGAGACGACTGGTGTGGCAGCGGTGAAGAAGGGAGCCAAGCCGGCTCCGGCCACTAGCAAGGGCTTTGGAGCGAAGAAGAAGTAAATCTTGATGACCAGATTGTGATCTTGATGCGTGTACTTTTGTACGATAAATGAAGATTACCATGTACATCGTTGCGCATTGTATTATATGCAGATTTTTACTACCGTTTAAAAGACATTGTTGTGTGCATCGTGGATTTTTCCCAATCAGCTACGCTCATCATTAATGCAGCTGAAGTGGCGTCCATGCGGTTGATTGCGTTGTGCGCTGCATGTTTAGCGCTGCATGTGAACTGTTGTACATTGGATGTGAACGGCGCCATGTAAAGTCGTCTGTCGTGCGCTTTGCTGGTTTATACCCTTTAGTTTCCTGGAATGGCGATTTATGGGCAGTGTGGATAAGAAACCTGGCGTCTTTTGACGTTCGTTGCATACCTCTCGAGGGTACGTATGTTACAACGGTTGGATTTCGGAGCAAGTTTTGCCACTTCCTACCCAGTGTAACCAATGATGAAGGCGCCTTATATCCTTGAAGAAATACCAACCGCTACGTGTACCGTCCTTCACAGCTGTTTGGACAAGGATCCGATACTTCTCCTCCAGCTACATACTGCCAATTTCTCCATTTTCTCACTGTCCCCTCTACCTTGCACACGACACCCGATTAAGATTTACCAAGAACTTTCATCTTGTTTCAACCACAACGCTCTCTCTAGGCCTCACCTCTAGGCCTCACCTAAGTAAGAAGCCTACCAGCTGCAACCAGCACTCCATTCCCGCAACCCTCCTCAAGACGGCATCATTAACATCAACAACATCTCCTCACGACGTGAGTCGCTGCAGGATAGACGCACACTGCGAGTAGTAGCCCTCCCCGAACAGGTTCAGGTGGTTCAGGTAGTGGTACAGCCGATACAGCTCGGCGCGTCGCTCGAAGCCGGGAGCTCGAGGGATGAGTTCGTGGTAGGCGATGTAGAACTCCTGCGTGAAACCTGTGAGGGGGGGGTGTCGGGGTTGATGCATGGTGGAGGGAGAAAGGGAGGGCGGTAGGCGTGAGGGGGCCAGTGTTGCGACATCTGCATACATGCTTGCATGCAGCGTTCAGCCGACGACCGACCGCGGCACCCATCTCCATGGCGGACCGCTGGAGTCCACAGCGGCCGAGCGTGTGAGGTTCAAACTCACACCGAAGCCCTTCAACCTCCCTACACAACAGGCCCTCAGTCCCCATTACCAATACCTGTTTCATATACCCGCCGGTAAGCAAGCAAGCAAGCCACCTGTTGCTCCATGCATCCACGCACGCCCCGTCCTGCCCCCGTCCTGCCGCCTGTTCCAACCCCACCGTCCCACCCTCCCACCCTCACCGCCGCCTGCTCCCCCCTCACCTGCACACCAGCTCATGCCAAACTCCGCCTCATGGTGCCCGAAGTAGGTGGCGGGGTCGAAGATGGCTGGCTGGCCGCCCACGCAGCCGATGTTGCCGCTCCACAGGTCCCCATGCAGCACACTGGGGCGCACCTGCGGGTGTGGGGGGTGGGGGTGGTGGGGATGATTGTGGTGGGGATGATGCCTTGCCGACCTGTGCCTAAAGGTGCTGCTGCTGCAGCGTCTGCTGCTACCGTATAAGCAAGGCTGTGTTGGTTTACGGATGGTGGCACTGAATCCAGCTCAAGGGTGGCAAGTTTCAAGTCTGTGTTTCTGTCACTCATTCAGCGAACGACCACGCCCCAGGCAACACCCATGACCGCCCTCTTGCAGCTTGCCCACTCCCTTCCTCGCGGTGTCGCCCCCCTCTGGCTCTCACGTCGATTCCCTCGAAGAAGCAGTGCAGGTTGTCGCACAGCCGCTCACCCAGCCGCATCAGCTTGGTGTCGCCTGCGGGATTGATGGTATCCAAGGGTGTGGAGCAATTGCATGGTAGGGCGGAGGTCCCATAAAAACTGCGGAGGATGCGCCATCCCAGCAGCTTCCCAGGGGAGACCCGTATGCCTTCCAAGTACCGCTCACCCTCCCGCTCCCCTTCCCCTCCACTCCTCTCCACCTCCCCTCCACCTCCCCTCCCTCGGCCCCGCCCGCCCCCACCCGTCATCCTCAGCTGCGGCTGCAACCTTCGCTCCCGCCAGAACGCCACCCAGTCGTCGCTCCAGCCGTTCAGCTGCGGACTGCCGCCCAGCGTGTTGTCTGTCGGGAAGCCGAACTGACCCGCTGCGGCAACCGGGTCCTGGGCGCAGGAAGGAGCAGGGAGGAGGGGGCAGCAGGGAGGAGGGGCACGGCCAGGGAGTGGGCGGATACTGGGTTTCGCATGCAAGCTGGGAAAGAGGGCGGCCATGGAAATATTTGGGGTGGGGTGCGCGGCTGTGGTTGCATGCCAGCAGGTATGCATGTAAAGGGGGGGAGGGGTGCATGTATGCGTGTCGTAAGATGCCGGGCGGTGCGGTGGGGCCTCACATCTGAGGTCCTGAAGTCCAGGTAAATAAACCCTCGCTCCCTGAAGCCGAGGTACCCCCGCACTCCCTCCCTCACAGTGGGTGTTGCCAGGTGCATCTGGGCCAGCCCCCGCCCCAGTGCCGCCATATCCACCCCGCCGCCGCCGCCTCTCAGGTCCAGGTACTCCATCACAATGAAGGAGCCGCCTGCACCGCCTCTGCCCTTGCTACCACTGCTGTTGCTGCTGCTGCTGCTGCCTCTGCTGCTGCTGTCCTCAGCTGTACTGCTGCCGTCTTCAGACAGGGAGCCGACATGGAAGACCTAACATACATGCATGGTGGCAGGGAGAGGGGAGAAGGGCAACGAGGGAGCGGCCACAGATGGAGGAGGAGCATGAGGTGCTTCAAGGAGAGCCAAGTGATGGCGGAGGGCGGCAGGGATGATGGGAGGAGGTCCTCTGTACCCATGCAGGTATCGACAGCAGCCAACGAACCCTCCTCCATGTGAGGCAGAAGGTGTGAGGGAGGGAGTACGGCCAGCACTGCGGCAGCAGGGTTGCCAACACGTACGGCAGGGGATGCGGGGGGCGGCACGACACAGCTAAGCGCCCACCCAGCTCACACCCACCTTGGGCACTCTCAGCGTGTGGGTGTCTTGGGCGGACAGGAAGCGGGGAAGCAACCGCAGCAGCAGACGCAGGGGATGGGTTCGAGAGGTAGGGGTTACAGGGTATAGAGGGCAGTTAAACTCCATCTGAAAAGCTACTCGTCAAGCCACGTAAGGCCACCCACCAAGCCAACCGAACCCGCCAGCCACCTACCCAGCCCTCCCCCCTCACCGTACAGCCCTCTCCTCACATTGGGTATCCTCTTCGTTCCCCCTCACCGCCCGCCCGCCAGCCACCTACCCAGCCCTCTCTCCTCACCGTACAGCGCCTGCAGCCCCAGCGCCTCCCCTCTGAACATGGAGCCGCCATCATCTCGGCCCTGGGAGGTCTTCACGAAGTAGCGCTGGCCGCCTGCTGGGACGCCGGGGGAGAGGGAGAGCGGGGCGGGTTGGGAAGAGATGGGTTTGCATTCATGCATGCGGGGAAGGAGGGAGGATGCACCGCAAAACCCCGCATTCTTCATGAGCGCTCCGATAACTATCGGTACTAGTCCGGCCGTTACACACCAGCTTAGCAGACCCAGCAGCCCCAGCACCACCTCACCCCACCAGCCCACCCTGCGTCTCCACCACGAACGCGCTGCTCCAGCCGCTGCCCCCCAGGGAGCACTCCCGCACCACCGGCCCCCCCGGCAGGTGCGCACCGACCCACTGGGTCACCGCGGGGTAGGCCGCCCTGGAGGGAAGGGAGGAGGAGGAGGAGGGAAGGCGGGTTGGAGTGTTGCATGGTGTGGTGTGCCGTGGGTCATTTGGAGGATGTTGGAGGCTGCTGGGGTGCGGATGCGCAAGATACGGAACACAAGATGACCCTGGTCAGGTAGACAGGGATATGAGGGATATGAGCGATGAAGGTTTACTATGAGTTTACTTGCTTTACGTTTGTGAAAGCGACTTACATGACACGCAGCGCTGCTGCTTTGCGTGGTCGAGCCGAAGTGAAGGGAGCATGTGAACGCGACGTTCGCCAACCTTGACAATGTTCGCGCAGGATGTTTGCTTTATTCGACACTTTCATACTTTTCGTTTGTCTTCTGAGTTGCTAAACCCGCGGATGTGGTTACAGCACTGCTAACGCAGCTTAAGCTTGCAGTTCGAGATTGGTCGAAACAAAGTACTTCAGGTAATATTTGTTTATAGTGGGAAAGCTTAAAGCATTTTGACATTCCAATTGGTGGCCATTGTGCCCTCTAATGTCACAATTCCTAACCGCTCATAGTCATCTGCCTCACGGCAACACGCGCGCGATTCACAGTTCAGCTCCACATACAGCTTGCGAAACTTAGGTGTGCACGTCACGCCTCAGATTAGCCATAACCTATAGCCAAATAGCAACGCATCGGCAGCATTGCTTGTATAGGCGTTACTCACCACGCCAAACCCTAATAGCTTGCACCGTCCAACTTGCGAAATGCATTCCGCACCACCCGCCGCTACATCGCCTACCTGGTAACGGATGTCGATCTATCCATTGTGCACACAACACACCGGCATCGTGCATGCAACCTAGCAACCCCTCCGCAGCACCGTTCCAAACGCTGCACCCCACCCTCTACACCACTCCCACAACACACATCCCCATGTCCTGCCCCTCACGTTTTCGAGGTAAACCCCAACATTCGCAGCCCCTCCATCACTCCGCCTGCAGCCGGCAACGAAGCCAGGAACACACGCGGCAGCCTAAACACGAAACACAGCGCGAACATTCCTAACGAGCTTGCGGGGTCCCTAGCGGCCGCTTCTGCCGCTCCTGCTGCAATGGAGCCGCCGACCGCCGCAGCGGCCAGCCGCAACCCCAGCGGCAGCGCGCTCGTGTCCTCCCCCGAGCTCCCTCGCTGCTCCCCTTGCTGCTCCCCCTGTTGCTCCCGCTCTGAAACCGCCTGAAACCCCCATTTGGGCTCCAGCAGCTGCAGCAGCAGCGGCCCCAGCAGCGGCTCCAGCTCGCTAGCCACAGCCATTCCGTAACAGCCCTTACGCAGGAGGCGGGACAACTCCGGCGACCCTGCAGCCTCCTGGGCTGCTGGCTTGCCGGCGTCATTGTGACCACCGCCGCCACCACCATCACCGTCACCACCGCCGCCGCCCGCGCCAGCAGCAGCGCCCCTCCCAGGCGCCGCGTGCTCCTCCTGTCCCCGCATCAGCAGGGGGTCCCAGCAGCACATGGGGTCCCATCCGTACATTGGGTCGAACTCGTAGTTGGGGTGCCACCCCTCTTCCCCCTGCTCCTCCTCCTCTTTCCCCTCCTCCTCCTCCTCCTCCTCCTCCCCGTCCTCCTCCTCCTTCCCCTGCCACTCCTCCTCCTCCCCCTGCCACCCCTCCTCCTCCTCCCCGTCCTCCTTCCCCTTCCCTTCACCCTCTCCTTCCTCTTCTTCCCAATTGCAATCCCCCTTATCATCCTCCGGCTGCACCGCTCCTCCGGCTCGACTGTCTGCTGCTTGCGGCGGCTCCTGGGTGGTCTCACAATCTCGATAACCGCCATCCGCACCCCTGCTGGCTGCTGCTGGTGCCGCCCCCCGTAGCTTGCGGCTGGCTGCTTCCGCCTCCGATGCGAAGCGCCGTACCGCGGAGTGGCAGTTGGAGACAGCTATGGCGTAGTGCCGGGCGCCCTGAGGGGGTAAAGAGGGCGGGGGATGAGGGGGCAAAGAAGAAGAAACAACTGACTAACCGTGTGGTAAGGCTTCTTCAACGTGGTTTGCATCATACATATGCTCGTTTGGACGGTTAGACGAGAGGGCGACGACGACGAGGGGGCTAGCGAAGGGACAAGCGAGCCTTCCTGTCCCTTCGCGAGCCTTCCGAGCCCCTGTGTGGTTTTGCGACCCTGCTACGTACATGTACGTGCAGGCGTCTGCAATGCACGAACCCCTCCTCCTCACTTATCCAGCAGACACATCTCCTGTACCTCCAACAGGCTTGGTACCACCCTTCCATCCAGCTATCCATCCGCCATCCCTCACCATCCCTTGTCTTGTGGCACCCTGCCGCCGCCTCCTATCCCCTTTGTCTTTCCCCCACTTGTGGTTTGGACTTTCTTTGACCCCTCCCTCCCTCTACCTATCCTTCCCTCCCTCCCTCCCCCTTCCGCACCGCCAGCATATCCAGGTCATTGGGCGCATCCCCCGCCACCACCACCCAGGGGCGGCCCTCGCTATCCTGCCCCTCATCAGCGGTCTCAAAGGGGTCGGCGAGGGGGCCTGCCAGGATGTGGTATACGGCATGTGCTGCGGAGTTCTTGCCAGCTCGGGCGGGCAGGAGGTCAAGGTAGGTCCAGCCGGGGGGGTCTGGGTGAGGGCAGGGAGGAGGAAGGAGGAGAAGGAAGGAGCCAGGGGATGGGAGGGGGAGGAGGTTGGGAGGGACGGAGGACGCGCGAGGTGTGGAATGCTACCAGCAGGGCCCGTCCAAAACGCAATGAATGTGTGATGACTCAGGGAATGGTGCTTCCGCCCACAGTTACGGCAACGGCCCGCGGCTGTGGCCAACGCACCATCCGTGGGCCCTATGACAGCCCGGTACGGCACCCGTGCGGCCGTCAGCCGGCGGTCCAGACGGGTCAGCAGTGCGGTCAGGACGGCCGGCGGGGCGGCTATGGTGAGCTTGAGGTCATCGTTTTCCTCGGGGAGTCGCCAGGACACACTGAGATCGGGGGAGGAGGCGGTTATGGGGGGAGTAGAGGTCAGGTACGGAGACATGCATCCAAGTACGGAGACAAAAGCTGCCATGTGCACAATCGTCACCCTACCTCTATGTCCTCCCCGCCCCGCAGCTGTCACACCACACATCACATCACACCACACATGGGCATCCCTGTTCCCCGCATGCACCTGTCCGGCCCCAGCTCCCGCATGACCGCCTGCACCACCGCCGTCACCGAGGCGATGTCCCACTGCTGCCCCACGTGCCGCGACCAGCCCACGTGCTCCCGCCACCCGGCAGCACTGCCTGCAGCAGCAGTCGCAACAAGCAGGGGTGATGCGGGTAAGAGGTAAGTTAGGGGAGTCGGAGGGAAGGAGGCAGGCAGGCAGCGGGAGGCGCAGGAGAAACAGAGGGAGACTATTGCAGAAGAGGACTAGAGGAAGCCTTTGTAACGAAAATGACAGTATTTGCGGAAAACAGTGAGTGTGGTCGAGTCCGCTGACCCATGGGTCAGCCTAGTCCCGAAGATCCCCCCAACTGACCCATGGGTCCGCCCGCCTTGTGTCGCAGGTAGATGCGGGTGCCCACCCCGCACACCAGCGCATCCGGCTCAGGGATGACGGCGCCCCGCTCGGACACGGCGCGCAGGAACAGCGGAAGCGTCCTGGACGGTTAGAGGGAGGAAGAGAAGGGACTGTAAGGTAAGACAGTTGTCCACCATACCATGCAAGAAGTGTCCATGCATTTCGAAGTCCAAGCATTTCCTACTGTGTCCCAGCAGGTCCCACCTGCCGGTATTAATGGCAAGCCAGCATTGTGGGCCCTTCCCCGCCTCAGCCTGTTGCCGCCAGTGGCTGAACGCCGCCTTCAGCTGGAGGCTGGCGGCATCGCAGACCGCTGCTGCTAAGGCTGCTGACTTGGAGGCGCTGCTGCTGCTATTATTGCTGTCAGCATTGCTGGTATTGTTGCCGCGGACGGTTTCCTCGTCCAAGCCGCAGCCCACTCCGCCGATGAGAGTGTCATCCAAGTCGCTAATGAGCATCAGCGGCCGCAGCAGGGTCGGCAAAGGCTGCGCACCGCCGCCGCCGCCACCGCTTAGAGAAGCAGCCACGGAGCTCATGTTGTGCGGCGCTTGCTGCGAACTTGGAGTCGCAGATGATGCCCTAATTGGGTTGGAAGGAGTGCTTCTGCTTCTATAGCTGCTTAGGAGGTTACAGCGGTTGCTGGTGTTAATGGTGCCACTGTGGATGCTGCGTGGATAGGCTCGTCCTTCAAATGGCGGGCTTAGCGAGGAAGCCAAACCTGAACAAGAATGCAAGTGCTTAGGATAGCTAGCAGCTAGAAAAAGCAATCGGCTGCTGGAATGTGCGCCGCTACGAAGCCTGACAGCAGGTCGGAGTTGCTGCATTGGAAAAGAATGCGCGTTGAAAGTGCCGCAGTAGGTTTTCCGTTTTACCCCACTGCAAATGTAGCTATTGCAGCAGCAATGGTCACTTATGTTTGCCGGATATGGGATAACGTATGATGCTACGGCGGTAACGAAGGGCAGAGGTTGCCCAGCTTCAATCTTAGATGCTGCCGGACAGGGTAATTTACATCATCATCATCATCAGCATCACCGTTGGCGCTCGAGCCGAAGGCACCAAAAGCCTTCCAGGCGCAGGTGGGAGGCAACGCTACCCAAACAATTGAACCAGTTGCGGCCCTAACTGCGGTGTCATGTTGCATGCCAGTCGAAGCACAAAACTACGCCACCTGATGCGCAACTACACAACTACTACGGAATGACTTTTGATTGGTGCGGTGAGCACTTGAAGGAGGCCTTCCGAGTATCTATCTGGCTGCTGCACCAGCAAAGCCTAATATCACATCTTAGGCATCGAATCTTGGCGCTGGCCGGCTCCACTAATTGTCGTTTCACAGGAATGCGTCGCGTTCCAATCAGTCCGAAGCCCTGGCGGCTAGCTTGATCTGTCTCCGGCACAGCTCCCAGGCGCTGCTAGGACTCGCTTGGGCCGTTGGTCTCAACCGCCGCTTGTTTCAGTGCCGATCGGAGTTCCTCCATGCCCTCAGCCACACCCTGGCAGCAGCGCAACAAGTTGGACGGGCAGGACAATCAAGGGCAGGCGGCAAAGGGCAAGCAATGAGCTTGCGGTCGCTAGGAGGAATGTGGTGAGGGGCATGGTTGTTTGGGGCTTCCGTCGCCAGGCCGCATTGACCCATGGGTCACTGCTAACGACACAACAGTATCGCTTGCAGGACACGAGACAAGGCGCAATCCATGACTCTTTCGGCACCCACCCACATGACAGGTTATACCGGTCTTATGTCACTTGCCGTGTCTCATTCTTGCACACAAGACCCAACACTTCAGTCACACTTCCGAACCCACCTGCGGGTGCCCGTACAGGAAGCTCCCCGCCACCATCACATCCGCCCCCGCAGCAGCCGCCTGGCGGGCTGTGGCGGGGTTAATACCTCCGTCCACCTGGAGGGGCCAGCAGAGGGAGAGTAAGGAGGGCGAGGAGAGGCCAGCAGAGGGATTGGATAACCTGAGCCGCGGAAACTCTGACCCTCCAGCAGAGGGAGAGCAGGGAGAGCGATGGGGGGGAGAGTCATGGGGGGGTAGACACGGGTGGGCACACACAGCGGGGTGGCAGCTGAACCCGTCAAACGAACATGTATAACGGTAGCCCCAACGGCCCTCAGCCCCCAGCCCCGCCTCCCTCACACCTCATACCCAACACCTCATTTGGTAGGCCCCCTCTGCTTACCACTCGCAGTTCTTGCTTAGCACACGTGTTGTGGGGACATCATCTTCCGACAACCCAGTACGTTCCCACTCGCGGCCCGTGTGTTCCTCAGCACCCACCTGTACCAGCAGCTGCGGGCATGCGGCCCTCAGCCGCGCCACCTTCTCCAGCGCTGCGGGGCGGAAGGTCTGGCCACCGAACCCGGGGGGCACCGTCATGACCAGCACCTGGGTGGGACGGGGAAGCGGCAGGGGGCGGCAGGGGGCGGCAGGGGGCGGCAGGGGGCGGCAGGGGCCGGCAGGGGGAAGCGGGAGGGGGCGGCAGGGGGAAGCGGGAGGGGGCGGCAGGGGGAAGCGGGAGGGGGCGGCAGGGGGAAGCGGGAGGGGGCGGCAGGGGGAAGCGGGAGGGGGAAGCGAGTGGGGGAAGCGGGAGGGGGCGGGAGGGGGAAGTGGCGGGTGCGGGAGGGAGAGAGGATGAGGGGTTGGGGAGAGGGTTTAGGGACATGTACATAGGAGCATGCGGCAGATATGGCCGTGAGAAAACGAGTGAGCGGAGTGCGCTGTTTGTCTGGACACTCGACACTCGGACTACCGTAAAGGCAAACACACACCGCGGTAGGAGCACACCAACATTACCCCTCTTCCCGCATGCCCGCCCCCTAGCCGCCCGCAGCCCCCGCGATCCCGCCCCCCACCATGTCCACATGCCCCTGCGCAGCCAGCTCCACTAGCTCCTCCTGCGGCATGCCGTACACAGAAGACAGTTAAGGTTCCTGACATTGCCGTACATTCGGACATTGCACACAGGCGCACGCAAGCAGGCTCCCTCGCCCCCCAGCTCTCTTCCCTTCCTCGCCACCACCAGCCAACTCTCCCAACTCTCCCAAGCCCAATTGCAAGCCTCACCGGCAGCGCCGTGTCCGGCGCCAGCGCCACCCCCGCCCGCATGCCAGCACTCCGAATGCGGCCCGCCAGCTGCCGCACCGCAACCGCCGTCGTAGCAGCAGCAGCAATGGAGCTTGCCGTCCCTCCCTGCCTGCCGCCTTCCGACTCCGCCTCCTGCTGCCCCTGCCGCTGCTCGTCCTGCTGGCCTCCCTGGCCCCCTTGCAGTACCTCCCAGTGGAAGGTGATGCCGTCAGCCCCCGCAGCCGCCAGCCGCTCCACATAGCGACCTGGAGCCTGGGGGGCGGGGTGCAGGTGGGGAAAGAGGTGGGGGGAGGGGTGCAGGTGCATGTGGGGACAGCAGGTGCAGGTCTGGGGAACAGGTGCCGGTGGGGGCAGAGGGGAGCAGGTGCTGGTGCAGATGGGGGCATCCACTTGCTCCCGCTTACAGCCGCCGCGGTCTTATTGGAATCCTTAGTGAGGTCACATCTGTTGACAAACTATCGGTACTGTAAAAGCCCTTCCTAACCCTCACCATCAGGCCCAGGTGGCAATCCAGGAACAGGCCTCCGCCCGCCACCCGCCTCAGCGCCGCCACCACCGGGGGCCCTATGCTGAAGTTGTCGCAGGCGGCCCAGGAGCCGTCAAACACGTCGAGGTGGAGCCAGGGGGCACCCGCAGCGGCTGCGGCAGCCACTGCGGCCCCTAGGTTGGCAAAGTCGGCTGCTAGGATGCTGGGAGCTATGATGATGTCCCTGCTGCTGGGGCTGGGGGTGCTGAGGCTGGCAGGGATGCTGAGGCTGGGGTTGGGGTTGGGGGTGCTGTCATGGGGGTCGATGGATATCGTGCATGTAGCGCTGTTTCTGGAAACAACGCCGGCGCCTCCAACCAGCGTTGAGGAAGGTACTACTGCTGCTACGGTTACTGCTGCTGCGGCTGGTGTTGGTGGTAACCCATTCGCAACTCCCTCACGTGCTACTCCCGCTCCCGCCTCGCCACCATCACTAGCCCTGTCGTTCTGCCCCTCATTGTCGTACTGCCCCCCATTGTCGTACTTCCCATGGAAGATGGGCGCAAGGGCGGGGTACAGCGCTGCGTAGCGGGCCAGGGGCGCTCGGTAGGCGGCCACTGCGGCGGGGTCGGGTCGCACCTCCCGCTCCACCGCCACCATTGCGGCGGCGGCGGAAGGCACGCTGTCGTACATGCCCGCCGCCACCGCCGCCAGGATGGCGCAGCCCAGCATGGGGGCGTCGGCGCACCTGAGGAGGGGAAATGGAAGGCGGGGGTTGGGGGGAGGGGAGTGAAAAGTGAAGCAACTGGAGTCCCAAGGCGGGCGGGAGGGAAAGGGGGGAAGGTTCCCCCAGCTTACTTCACTTGCCGGTCAGCCTGAGCGGCAGCCCAGTACCGCCACGTTTCCACGGTACCAGCACCACCACACAGCCCAGCCCGCCTTGCTCCTCTCCCCCCCTCCTCTTCCCGCACCTGGTGAGCCTCAGCGGCAGTCCTGTCATGTCGGCGTGAATCTGCAGCCACAGCTCGCTTCGGGCCGCCCCGCCCGCCAGCGTGATGCACTCGGGGGTGTAGCCGGCCGCTCGCATGGTGCGCAGGATGACGGCGGTGCCTGGCAGGAGAGGGGAGGAGAGGAGGAGGGAGCATTGCTTGCAGTGTGTACACCATGGCCACATGGCACCGTTTACCGTTACCGTTTATGCATGGCTGAGGATCTCGTTCATGTCCCCTAGACAGACCGACAGGTAAACACTAAAACATTTCCGCGCGCCTCCTATTGCGTCCGCCAGCCAGCCACCACCCACCAACCACCTGCCTACCGTACCCGCTGCCACGGACTCCATGAGCGCTCGGAACACGTGGCCCCTGCCGTGCTTGAGTGTGAGGCCCGCCAGGACGCCGCGGGAGAGGGCGTCGGTGTGCGGCGTGCGGTTGCCCTGGGGGGCGGCGGTGGAGGAGAGGGTCATGATGGGGGTCAAAGGCCATGCACCAAACCATAGGAAACCACAGGTTAGGGCAAAGCAATGGCTCATGGGGAGGGCGGTAAAGCTGTGCCTGACCGGACAAAAGACTTGGAACCCTCCCATGTGTCATACACGCAGCAGTGCCTCCGCCCCCACCCGATCCCCGATTCCTCCCTCCCTGCCCCCACCTGATACCCACTTTCCATCTCATCCCGCCCTTTCCCTCCCTGTAGTCACCCCCCTCCCCCCCCTGCCCTGGATTGTTAGCAACTTGTATCATTATCACACCACACATTGGAACTTCTTTTTTCCCACCACCCGTCTCCCACCTGGGACTCGTTGCTGCACATATCAATTATGTTCCCCCCCCCCACCCGTCCCCCACCTGGAAGTGGTCCAGAGCGGTGAGTCCCTCGCAGCCGGGGGGCACCGCAGCCGCCTCCGCATCCAGCTCGGAGTAGGGGGTGCCGGGGGCGCAGCAGGTGCGCCTGGGGGGGAAGGGCAGGAGGGGGAGGGAGGCGGGGAGGGTTTTGAGACTAAGGAGGTTTTGAGGTACAGGGGGCTTGCCTAGGGCGATCTTTGAGGAGTAACCCCATATGTGTAATCCCATGCATACTCCACGTACTCCCATGCTTCCCTCCCCCCCCCACACACTTTCGACGATCACAGTACGTTCCGCCTCGCGGCCAGTTCTCTTAACACCCCCACCTGAACCACGCCAGCACGCTTCCCGTGGAGGTCTGCCCTCCCTCAATCACATGGCAGCCCGGCAGCACCGCGTCCCGGTAGGTGCCGAAGAAGCCGGGGCCGTGCAGCTCGGAGCCCACCACCCCCAGCTGCAGGTGGGAGGAGCCTGGGGGGGGATGGGGGTGTGGGGGTGTGGGGGTGCAGGAGGGGAGGTGCGCAGGCGAGTTGGTTGAGGAGTTGGGAAAGGGTTTCGTAGGAGGGGAACAAGACGAGTGGCTGACATGCAAGTGCTAGGCGAGGTCTATTACAGGAAGGACAAGAACAGGAAGTAGGTTAATGCAAGGAAAGGGAAGGACAAGAGAGTGCCGCTTCGCCTTAGAGCAGGCAGCACCTACCCCGATGCCCTACCTTGCCTCTTGCCTCTTCTACCGGCACTTCCCTCACCCCCACCCATCTTCCTGTAGCTTCCTATGATTTGCTATGGTCTTTTTGGGCGGCCCCCCTCACCCCCTCCACCTCACCCCCTCCTTCTCAACTCCTCCTCACCCGTCAGCAGCGCCATCTGCCCCGGCGCCACCACCCCCAGTCCCAGCATGCCGATGAACGCATCCGCCCCGCCCTGCGCCACCGGGGTGCCGGGCAGCAGGCCCAAGTGGGCGGCGGCGGCGGGGGTGAGGCCGCCCACCAGCTGACCGGGCAGCAGCGGGGCGGAGGAGGAGGAGGAGGAGGAGGAGGTGGGCCACTTGGCGGCGAGGGAGGAGAGGCCAAGTTGGGAGAGCAGGGAGAGCGGGGGGCCTGAGGGCGGGGCGGGGCGGGGGAAGTAGCAGGGGTAGGAAGGGGGTGAATCAGCTGAGCCACGCGGTAAAAACCGCGCTAGCCGTGGGGACCAGGGACCCCTCAACCCACCCCTCCAGTTGCTTTACTTTTCACTACCCACACCTTATCACACAGTCAGTTAGTTACTTTCTCTTTACCCCACCCCACCCAATCCCTTACACCCCCCACCCTGCTGTGTGGAGCAGTGCCAGCGCACCGCCATGTTGTTGGCGGCGCCGCAGCGGACCCCCGTCAGTCGCAGGTTCAGGAAGTCCTGGTACTCGCAGATGGTGGCGGCGGTGTCGTACAGGTGGGGCTCCCGCTCCGCCAGCCACAGCGCCTTGGGCAGCATCCACTCGGCGGACACACGCGGGGGGGAGCCGCCGCTGTTGACCTTGGAGGAGGAGGGTAAAAATAAAGGAAAACTGACAAACTGGATGACGAGGAGGAGGGGGTGGAGAGCGGGGGAGGGAAAGGCAGCTGACGAGGCAACTAACGAGCTGTGTGGCAAGGCACGGGGAAGGGAGGGGATCAGAGGGTATACTAAACCATAGGAAAGCACAGGTTAGGGGGAGATGGAAAGGGGAGGCGGTTGGCTACTCCTCATGCCCTAGATGGCCGCCTCAATTACCCCCACCCCCCTCACCAGCCCGTTAGCCTCCTCGTTTTACCCCACCCCCACCCTCAAACCCCTGCCCCCTACCCTACCCTGAGCGCGGCGTCCTGCAGAGCGGCCACCCGGGCCGCCTGATCCGCACTGCGCATGTCCATCCACAGCAGCGCGGGGCGCAGCGGGCAGCCGTCTGGGGGTGGGTGGGTAGGGGGAAGGGGAAGGGAGGCAGAGGAATCAGGGGGCAGCCGTCTGGGGGTTGGGGTAGGGGGGGGAGGGAAGAGATGTGCGGGGTTAGTTGGCGAGTTAGGGGTGAGGAGCGCATCCCTGCTGCGTGAACTCCATGCCAGCAGCTGGACGCATGATCGTGCAGGCCTCTTCTCCCTACCTGCCCCTGCCCGCCTGCTCAGTCCTCACCCGCCCCCAGCGCCACCACGGTGCAGCAGGTGGTGTCGCAGCACAGCGCCGCCACCGCCTCCGGAACCACCCCCGCAGCCGCCACTGCGCCGCGCACCGCACAGCCCAGCGCCGCCCACCAGTCCTCCGGGTCCTGCTCCGCCCAGCCGGGTTGCGGGTAGGTGGTGGGGTAGGGCGAGGCGCAGGAGCCCAGAATGCGGCCTGGAGGGAGGGGGAGGAGGGAATTTTCGCCATTTTGTTTTGTTCCGATGATGGTTAGGGAAACGTGGGATTGTGTTTGAGGGTAAGGTGGAATGAGGGAGAGATGCAGGGTGAGAGCGCATTGGCAGGACAGGAGCATGGTAGGGTTGGCCTGGGCGGAAAGCGTGGGTGTGCGTACTACGAGCGATGCGCGGGAATGACCATGGGATGAGTACAGGGAGGCCAGCTTGCAAGTAGCGCAGCAGAGCTTCGTGATGCATTACTGCATGCTTGCATGGCAATGCTGACGGACCTGAAGCGTCAAAGACAGCCGCTCGTAAGCTTTCAGTGCCACCATCTACTCCAATGACGTATCGCTCTGTTGTCATTCTCTTCAAGATCTTGGAAAACAACACTTGAAGAAAGCAATGCTTGCACAAGTCAGAGCAAGCTGAAAAGCATTGGAACTAATCACAGCTGCTTTGGCATATAGACAGCTATAGCTTGCAAAATCAAAACTGGAGATGTGCATCAACCTAAGTGCAATCGTCGCGAACGGCACTCTCATCCGGTAGAAGCAAGTACATCGCACAAGCGCACAAGCCGCAAATGTCGTCTACAGAAATGAATGATATGTATTTTAGATGTAGTTAGGAAATCCTCGCCTAGTGCCCCAGTCGTGAGGAGCTGCCCTGGGACTCTCGAAACATCCCTCAGGAGCAGCGACGAGCCGAAAAGCAGCCTGCACTGCGAATGCAGAACCTAAAGAGGAGATATACAACACCACTACGAGCCTACAAGTCATACCTGCTTACACACTGAGTGTGCGCCTGTGGGCCGGCTGGTTACGTCGGCATCATCGTCGAACTTGTTAGACTCCCGAGTCGCCTTTTCCTCCGGAGGGACTGGCTTCAAGTAGCAATGCCGTCTCACGGCCATTCAGGTACGCTTTATCCTTCCACGAATCCTAAGCTTGATTTCACCTCTTCCGCACAGCGCAAAATCATAGTGGGCTTCCTCACACGCCGCCCTCACGCTCTCCGTCTCCTCCCAACAAAATCAACACCAGGCGCCGGCAGCGGCTCCTCGCCCCACGCTGGCCGCAACGGCCGGCCCCCCTCCATGCGTTCCCTCATGGACCTTCCTTTCGATCAGCTGGCAGCCGGTGTGGAGCGATCCGCCGCCGGCGGCTTCACGGGAGGATCAGCAGCAGCAGCAGGAGGGGCACTACTGCCGCCGCTACGGTCCTCCCTGCTGCCACCTCTGCCGCCCCTGTCCTCCCTGGCGCGACAGCTGCTACAGCCGCCGTCACCGGTGCGGAGGTCTCGGAGCGGCAACAGCCGGGAAGGCGGCGGTGGCGGTGGAGGTGGAGGAGGAGGAGCAGCAGGCGATGATTGGCCCTTGGATTTATTAGGCGAGGTGAGGAGGTCGTGAAGGCTTCGTAGTCCAGGGTACCAAGGGTGGTACAACAGTTCTCTCCATCCCTAACGCCTGCCTGCCTGCCTCCCTACCCCTCCTTACCCTTCCCCACCCCAGTTTCCCTGGCCTCGATCCTCCCACCACCTCCACCCCCACACCAACCACCATCTGCCAGCTTCCAGCCTAGCGCAGCTGCTGCTATCAGGCGACCCCTCACCAACAACAGCAGCAGGCGGTGCTGCGGCTGCAGCTACTGCTGCTCCCGGTTTGGAGGCCCGCACCAGCATGCGCTACCTGCACCCCCACCCCCACGCCTCGGGCCTAACCAGCCCAGAACGCCTGATGATGATGCTGATGCGCCACCCCAGCAGCGCCAGTGGTAGCGGCGGCAGGCTGCGCACTCCGGGGTATGCTGCTGCTGGTGGTGGTGAAGGTGATGGAGGTGGGGGACAGCAGCTGCCGTACAGTTACGAGCAGCTGTTGGCGCTAGACGAGGGGCGGCTGGTGCGGGCGGTGAAGCCGGAGGTCATACGGGCGCTACCCTCGGTGAGTGCGCGAGCGGGCGGGGCCGTTGGAGGTATACCGGTAGCCCTTTGCCGTCTCAACGACTGCCTTGCCCCTTCAACCTTCCCCGCCTCCTTACTCAAGCCCCCCACCGCTCCTCTCCTTTCCTTTCCTTTCTCCTTTCCCCGCTACATGTTTCCCTCCAGCGCTCCGCCCGTCCCTCTGACGCGGACCAGCAGTGCCTGGTGTGCCTCGAGCGCTTCCGCCCCTCCACCGCCGCCTCCGCCCGCCCACCCTCCTCCTCTGCTGCCCGCCCCTCCTCCAGCGCCCCCAGCCGCATCACCTCGCTTCCCTGCGGCCACTCCTTCTGCGCCTCCTGCATTGCCCCCTGGCTAGCTGCGCACGACACCTGCCCCACCTGCAGGTGGAGCTTCCCGGCCGCGCAGACGCAGCTGGTGCCGGCGGGAGGGTAGCGGGGTGCGGGTGCGTCCGGGCTGAGGCTTCGGCTGCACAGGGTGCTGGAGACGCAAGGCAAGCATGAATTCCCTGCAGTGTGGGGCCGGGTTCATCACCCTTGTTGTTATCTCCTCGGCATTGTCGGTAACCAGAATATATTCCATTCCTTAGAATTGGGAGGAGGTTTGGCGCATGCATGTGCCGTACAGAGTGGCCGGAGCGTTTGGCAGGCAGCTTACGTGTGTGAGAGGATGCGACTGCGCTGCTAGGTCGGATGAGCCGCCGAGAAGAGCGCAACTGGGTGTGTGTGTGTGGGTGAGGGGCTGAGGTGTGGTTGCGGTCGAGGCAGCTGAGGTGTGGTAAGGCCGAACGCTGGCCGTGCTGGCAGCCCTGGAGTGTAGCAGGCGTGGCAGTGCGAACGGGTGTGTGGCCGTGTGCGAAGGGATAAAGGAAAACAGCGTTGGGTGGAATGAATGGGGCCGTACATATCAAGGCAGGTTGTGGTAACGATGAACGGAAGATAAGTCGCTTGAGAGGTTGGGCAGGTCCGCGGGTCATCAATGTCATGGATGCAAGGATTTAGCCTGACACGCGGTCATGATGGTGTAGTTGCGTTCTAGCTCACTGTTCGTAGTACTGTCCCAAAATTGCCGTCGGGCGAGGAATGCGATTCCGTCGAGCTCCTAGTGCCGCTCTGGAACCATCGCGAATTGGAATACTGCGACAAGCAATGGCTTTCTGCACCGAAATGAGATATTATTATACGTACTACCGTGCTAAATACAAATGCGAGCTTCTTTGTAGTTGCTTCCTTGCTCGTTGCCGCAAACGTCGCGGCGCCTAACGGAATTGCCGATCTACAGCTCTCGCAAACTTACAAGCAACAGTAACTTCTTTATAGCCAGCATTATAAACCTTTGCCACATCTGATCAGTCCTTTCGACGTCCACCGCTTCTGGAGTCGCCATGTCGGTCGTCGTCCCACCGCAAGCCAAGCGCGTGCGCTATGTCTATATCCCCGCAGACATGTAAGCACATGGTTTTCATTACACTTAAGCTGAAACTCCATAACGCGACGTCCGTTAGCGCGCTTATGTGTTCCTCCTCTTCCACCTCCCTCTCATGCCTCGTGCACCTCCTCTCCTTCCTCCTTACCTTCCATGCAAACGTTCCCCTCCACCACTCCTCCTGCTCATCATCTTCATCTTTCCATCCCCCCAGCCATGAGCCCCTTCAGGAGCGCGAGGTGGAGGTGGAGGAGGGTCGCGAGGTGGAATCGCTGCTGGACCCGCTGAAGGAACATTTCAAGCGGGCGGGCGGGGTCAAGACGGAGGCGCAGCGGGAGGCGCACAGACAGGTGAGGGACGGGGGCGGCAGGTGGGGTGCGGGCTCAATGGGATATGTGATGGCACGATTGCAGTGGCTGTGGCAGGTACGGTAAAAGATATTCCCGTTGTCCGCCTGTCCCCCCTGCCGCCCTATGCCGGTACTCCCTTGTCCGGCTCCCACCCCTTCCTGCTCCTCCTCTGCTCCTCCTCCGCTGCTCCTGCGCCTCAACCGCCGCCCCTCTTCCCCCCTCCTCCTCTCCTCCTCCGCCTCTCCTGCTCTTGCTCCCCCAGCAACTGGTACAGCAGGTGGGGGCGGAGGCGGCTGCCAAGCTGAGTGACCAGATGATGGCGGCGGCGCTGGACATACAGATGGTGAGCGGGGGGAGGGTGAAAAGAGGAAATTGACGAACGAGTTGGTGAGCGGGGTTAGAGAAACAGAACCGCAATTTAGAGACCGCAAGTTAGAGCAAGGCAAAAGTTCATCCTCCGCAATTTTTTCCTTCTTTTGCCGCTGTTCGTGCTTCCGCCCTTCCCCCCCCTGCCTGCCTGCCACCGCTGATAGGTGGAGACGCTACCGCTGCTGGTCAACAACCCCGCCAGCGGCTACATGGGGGTCAACATGTACTGCGACGACCAGGCGCAGATCAAGGAGCTGACGTACAACGCACGAGCCTCACAGATTGCAGATTGCTGCGGCAGGCCCATGCAGGTGGGTTGGGTTGGGTTGGGAGGATGAAGATGAACCGCGAAATGTGCTGGGACTGTGACCGTTGCAGGCCAAAGGATGAACAGGGGGAGAGGAGAGGCAAGGGCGGGGAGATCTGGGCGCCTTCTAGCTCGGGTGGGGTGTTAAGAAGACTGGCCGCGAGTAGGAACGCACCGGAGTGTCGGACGATGATGTTCTCCCCACCAAAACGACTCGGGAGGCGAATAGTGCCCGCATGTGTATGTTCAAGAGCCGCCGTGAGCCCCTGGAACCCCTCATACACACCTCCTGCCCCCTCTCCCAACCCCCATCGGGGCCCCCCTCTATCGGCAGGTCCGCGGCGACGCCTTCCTGTCGCGCATGTTCGACAACGAGGACTCCTTCGTACGTCTGGACCTGCGGCTGGGCGAGGTGAGCAGCGGGGCGGAGTGGGTGGCGGCGGCGGCGGCGCAGGCGGCGCGACGGATGCGGGAGGGCGACCGGGCAGCGGAGTTCATGGCCAAAATGCAGCAGCAGCAGCAGCAGCAGCAGCAGCAGCAGGGGAGTGGCAAGAAGGAGCAGGGAGGCAAGCAGCAGCCCAGCGCGACGGTGAGGTGGTGTGGTGAGGGAAGATTGCGTTGCGTTGCGTTGCAGTCTTCCCTGTTGGTCAGTACGTGAATGTTATACAGGGCATGTGACACACAAGTTGCGAGATGCCCCTCCGCTCAAACTACAACGCTGCTGCTGCTGCGTGTGGGTCATTATTCTGTAGGTGCGCGAGCTGAGCCCGGCGGAGGCGGAGAAGGAGGCGGGCAACGCTGCGGTGCGGTCGGGCGACTGGGCGGCTGCGGTGGCCCGCTACTCCGCCGCCCTGCAGTTGCAACCCGACATGACGTCGGCGGCCAACAACCGGGCACTTGCGCTGCTGCGGCTGGGGAGGCACGCGGAGGCGGAGCAGGACTGTGGCATGGTGAGGGAGGTGGAATGTGGGGAGTGGCGGAGTAGGTGGCGGGTGAGGTGGGGTGAAGGGACGGAGGCGACGTGCAGTTGAAGTGAGGGCAGCTGGGGCCGGTGGCAGCAACGACGTGGGCTCAGCAATGGTGTAGCAAATAGGTTGGGTGAGAGCTGCTTCAAGCTGATGTGTTTGTGTGTCTGTTGGGCCTCCGCCTTGCCTTGCTTGCCATGTGCCTCTGCACCTCCCTTTCCCTCCCCCTGCCTCTCTTCCTGCCTGCCTGGCTGCCCCGCTGCTGGTCTGCTTGTGTTGCCACTACTGTTCAACAAACAGTGTTCACCGTGTTTTAGCTTGCAACCCCCCCCTGCCTCGGGATATGGGATTGGGATTCGTTGTTTCACTTATTTAATTTTTTCCCCTCCCACCCATTCCCCTGCCCGCCAGGTGCTGTTCCGCGAGCCGGGTAATGTGAAGGCACTGCTGCGGAGGGCGGCTGCGCGGAGGGCGCTGGGGCGGCCAGAGGAGGCGGCGGAGGACCTGAGGGTAGGGAGCCGGGAGGATACGGAGTCGGGGAGGATCTTACACGCGCTGCGAATACCGTACTCTTTTTCACCATGTGTGTTGCCGTCCTTGTCTCATTTTGTTCTTCCCAACCTACCGGTAACCCAACCCCCTTCTCCCTCCTGCCAGGCTGTATTGTCCCTGGAGCCTCACAACAAGGAGGCGGCTGCGGAGCTGGCCAAGCTGGCACCCCAGCTGCAACCACCACCTCCTCCGCCCCAGCCCTCGCAGCAAACGAATGGCTCAGCGTCGGAGTCGGCGCCTCCGTCGGAACCCGCTCAAGCAGCAGCACCAGCAACCGCAGCGGCGGCGACACAAGCGGCACCGGGAGCAGCTGCAGGGGTAACGGAAGGGCCAACCGCAGCGGAGGCGACGCCGATGGAGGCGGATGGGGAGGAGGTGGAGAAGCGATAGAGCCCCGGGGGTGCAGAGGAATAGCGGCTGGGGTGATGGTAGCGTGGAGGTGTGGGGCAGGAGCGGGCGCACAAGTAGAGGAGAGCCTTGGAAGGGTGTTAAAGGGAGCGGTGGTGGGCCCGACGTTCAGGCCCAAAGGGATAGAGCTGCTGTAGCTGCAGCTCAGTGTGCTCAGGGGCTTAGGCTGGCAAGATGAGAAGGGCCTGGTGGATAGCGAGTTAGGAGGATGGCGAGAGCGTAGGGACGGGCGCGGCATCGCACGATGGCCGTCAGTGGATGTGTGTACCGGGCAGCAGGTGGAGCAGAGGAACAGAGCGCAGGGAGGCAGCAGCAGCAAGCACAACTTGTACTGTAGCTGGCGGGTTGCTGGAGCAGGGGGGAGGGCGGTTGGTGCCAGCCGCGGCGAGAAACGCAGCTGCAATCGCAAGCAGCCACGTAGTATGGTACAAAGGCAGTTATGCACTTTCGTTTAGTTCCGTGCAGGAAACGCCATTAGGCACTTCTGCTTAGCCATGTTCACATGTTGCCACCTGCGCTGCGATGCATCGTCGGTTGCCACCTGCTGCTTGGGAGGCAGGTCCTCTTAACCGCCAGGGTGCACTGCTACCGTTGCTCTTAACCGCCAAGCTGACAGGGTTAGTACGCGCATACACCCCCGCATCTGCCATGTCTCCGGCATCATCCTACATTCCACGCGGCGCCAAGCACCAGCACTTGACCCCGTGCTATCCCCCACACACGGGATCTCCCACACGGGTTCTTTCCGCTCGAATTAACAACGTTGCCGTATTCTTCGCTCTGCGTTTACACCACCAATGCTCACACCCCTCTGAACCCAACCCAACCCAACCACATGCTGCCCTCCCACGAGACTCCCACGAACGCCCCCCCTCTGTCCCCTCTATAACGGGACACTAACCCCACCCTGCTCAGTGGTTTTCCCGCAGGTTCTTCTCCTTGGCCTTCAACAGCGAGTCGATCTCCCGGATGTAGCGGTCCGTCAGGGCTTGCACCTGGGGCAGGCAATCAGGGGGGGAGGTGTGCGGGTGTCTCCACTGAGGCCCCTCTTCCCGAGCACCCTCCTCTTCATGGCGCACTGCGCACACCAGCCACATCTCCATCAACCTCCTAACACATACACCACCCCACCCCACCGCCCTCCCGACTCAAACAGCCCATACACAGCATACCGAAAACTTAACACACCCCTCTCACAACACACCTCCCTCCGCACCTCTTGTTCCCGCCGCTTGCCCTCGTCGTGCCCCACGCCGCCCGCGCTGCTGCTCTTCTTGGCGAAATCCATGGCACGGTGCCGTACCCGCCGTACCGCCGCCCGCGCGTGCTCCGCCTCCTGCCCCGCCAGCCGGATCATGCGCTCCACCATGTCCATGGAGAGGCTGAGGAGGGAAGGGAAGGGGCGAGAGGAGAAGGTGTGGGGTGGGTGTAGGGCAAAGAAGAAGCTGTGTCGCAAACATGCGGGGCGTAAGCATGCGCAATGAACAAATGTTGTGGGTGAATGGAAGAACAAGGGCGTGGAGCGCTTGCGTGGCAGTTGTGGCAGCGAACATTGGGGAGAGAAGAGAAACAGGGGATGACAAGGAGATCCCATGGGGCGCTTTAATCGCGGTGCAGGAGCGCAAGAGACCCGTGGGTCACAGGGCAGGGGCCCCGCGTGGTAGTCCCCCGTCCAAGTGCTCCCCGTGAAGGAGGAGGAGGAGGATGAGGAGGGGGAGGAGGAGGGGGAGGAGGAGGAGGGGAAGGAGGAGGGGGAGGAGGAGGAGGAGGAACCCACCGGGGCACCGCAACCATGACCTCGTTGCCCTCCACGCGAGCCTGGGGAAGGGCGAGACACGCGAGGCAGAAGAGCCTTAGCAATACCGTAGGGGTGGTGTCCGCCCAATGCAGGGAGCGGAGAGGCAGGTGATAAGCGGTGCGGTGCGGAGGAGGAAAAGCAAGTGTGATAGCCATGCGGCAGCACCCTTGCAGCGCCCTCGAGCTCTCAGGCGGCCTGCGCCCGCTGCTCCACAGCCTTTCAGAGCGCAGCAGGAGCGTACGGCACTACCGGTACCCGCCGGCACGTGCAAGCAGCCCGCTGGGCACCACACACACACACACCGGCCAGTTATTTTAACACACACACCGGCACATGCACATGCACAGGCACCTACGTAAGTGCGCACCTGTAGTTTGAGTGGGCCCTTCTCGATGGCAGCGGCCACCGCGGGAGCGTCCTGGGGGAGGGGATGATGATTGGGGGTGATGATGATGGAAGAATGGGTGAATGGGTGAACGGTGATTTTATGGGCCATGGGATTGGGATTTGAGATTACCAGATCTCCTTGGGTTTCTGGCAATGAACCTTTTTCCGTGCTCCCTTCATCTAGCCCCCTAGTTGTCGTACAGCTCCCCTCACCTCCTTGTCGTACAGCTCTCCCCACCCCTCACCTCCTTGTCGTACAGCTCCACCACCAGCAGCTGCGGGTTGCGCGCCACCACGGTGCCCAGCGCCCGCAGCGGCACGTGCACGCCGCCCCTGCTGCTGGCCTCCACCTCCACCGCCTCCAGTAGGCCCGGGGAAGCGCGGCCGGTGCGAATGCCCGCCAGCTCGCGAGACAGGGCAGCCAGCGAGGTAGACATGTCGCTGCTCGGCGTGGGAGGGGGGGATATATGATAAGTGTAGCAACGAGTGCCAATCCCATATCCCGACTCAAGGCGTGGGAGGGGGGTTTCATGTAGACCAAAGCATAGGGCAGGCCGGGAGCGGGGGAAAGGAAGCGGTTAGGGAGTAACGGTTAGATGCGGGAGGCGGTGTAGAGGGTGTGCCGTACGCTGTGTTTGTGACACCAGGAGTCCTTAAAAAGAGGGGAGACGGGCAGCCGGTCAGCATCAAGCACCACAAGAGGGAGGCCGTTGGGAGGCCTGTCGTCTAACCGGTAGCCCAGTTTCGCCCATGTCCTCGGACCCCACCTGTCAAAGGGCGACAAATCGAAGGGCGGGGCCTCCACATCGGCCTCTCCACTTGTCGCCGCGGCAGCAGACCCCTTGTTGCCCCCACCATGCTTGTCCTTGCCCTTGCCGTGCTTTCCCCCGCCTGCAAGCACCGGCAATAGCAGCAGCACCGCGTCTTATATTGCAACGGTAGGCAAAACCAGGTGGGGTGGCAGTTGCTTCACAGGGGAGCTACTAGGGGCAGCATGTGTGTTGGATGTACGTGGGACACCGTTAGCATGCACATGACATGACAACATGTAGGTCCAAAAGGTTGCATATGACCTCGTTGCATGCTACTTTGGAGTGAAACCATAAGCGTGGGAACAGCACAATGGTCCGGACGCATAACGGGGCTAGGAAATGGCTTACGGCAACCCTTTGCAAGGCACGGCTAGGGGAGGGATGATGGGAAGGAAGCTTGGCGAGCATACAGACAGTCGCGGTTTCAAGCAAGGCTTCTAGCACACTGATAACCACGCTGAATGATATTTATATGTCTATAATGGCAAAGGACATGTTGCATGTCGCACCTTTCGATGCGAATGCCGCGACCTGCTGAGTCATGTGCGAGACACTGGAGCACCCGCCAAAAGCATCCAGCCCCCATCCGCTAAGAGGAGATCCTAAGGATCCAATGGCAGCCAATCGGCTGCCATCCTGAGCGGCCAAAGCAATAAGTCTGTCATGGCTGCGTGACATTAAGAGACGCAAGGATCATTAAGGTGTAATCCTCCATCTACGTCTCATTTTGCAATCTCCATTCCGTCACACTGACCCGTCAGTTAGGCTTGCAAGTCGGGTCGCCCGAGCGACCCTGGCTAGGACAGCCGCACCGTTCCTTACACCACCATACATTTGCGTATCACTTTGCACTTTTGCAGTTAGGAATGCCAACTGCTTATAAGGGTTCAGCCGTTAACTCAATTCTGGTTCCAACTGTCGTAAACATCTGTCGAAACAGCTGCCGATTGGAGTTGAGCGAGGGCGTGAGGATGGGATGACGTTGTTTTGGACTGTTGCAATTGCTCCCTAGACATGACGCCGTCTTCAGATGGTTTGGCCCCTCAGCGCACTTCCATGTGCATGCATCCATTGCAGATGGGCCATTGACGCACCACGTTCCCAGCCTGGGTCGCAGGCCAATACTGGACGGTGCCCACATCCTACCCGCAACTCCTGTCAATACTTTACGCGTCCCACACCCGTTGTCGAAGACACATGCAGGCCGCACCCCGGATCAAGCAGAAACGACGCCGGGCACAAGCATGCAACCAACGCCGCATTGCAACTCAAGCACAGGGGAGATCCAAACACCCAACCTGCCCACATGCACAGTCCACGACAAGTATACTGACCTGTCACTCGGCTTACTCCTCAGTTTGCACCCAAACGATCACAGGGTCAAGAAGTGTCAGAAGAGTAGATTGCACTGTTGTACTGTCTGCGCACTACATGCTAGATAGCCGTGTCGAGCTACCGGTACTACTTTCTAACCCTGTCGCACGCCTTTCCGTGCTCGCTGGCCTGCTCTTAACACTGAGCGCTTCTCGTACCCGCAACCCTCCTCCTCATTGATTGAAGTTACTAATCTACGGTTACCTGCCAACCGCACTAGGAGGTCTGCAACTCGATTTTCACGTTGTATGAAGTCCCGCAATACCTTGAGCGCCTGCAGAAAAGCCTTACGGCCCCCCAATCTCTCCCCAGTTCCCCACCGCCCACCGCTATAAGCAGTCGTCAGCCACCACACGACGCGCCACAATACCTCATCTGCACTAGAGAGGATAACCCAGACGGACGGACAAGTTGGCACATGAGGGAAGCATGCACTGCCCACCGCGACACCAGGGACGCCCAAGGGACGTCCATAGTAACCAAGTAAAGCTGCACACACGCGGGCGGTGGCATGCGCCCTCATCGCCTCTGCCGCCGCCCCGTGTCATGTCCGCCCTTCCGGCCCTCCTTGGTGAACGTTATCTGTGTGAACGGGTGAGAGGGGCACGTTTAACGCACAAACACACATCTGCGATGTAGCCCCTAACGCCAAAAATGCGGCAATGCGACGTCACAGGAGTGTCGCAGCCCCTACACCCGGAGGTTCCGGTTCCATAGGAGACTCCTATCCAGCCCCACACGCCTAATGGCATCCCGCCCCCCCATCCACGCCTTACCGCCAACCCTCCTCTCCACGCCTCACCTGAACCACGTCTCCATTATGCTCCCGCACGCCATAGTCGCCCGCCCCCTGCGCCAGGTTTACCATGATGCCCTTGTTGCCCGCACTCTCGCTGATCACCAGTCCAGCTACCTGGGGAGCGGGATGGAGGGGGAAAACAAAATTCCAGTGTGTGTGTGGGGAGGAGTGAGACGAGGAGGAGGAGGATCGGGGACCGGAGGGGGGGAATGGGATGTGAACAAAACGGTTCTGGCCGGTTACTGGGTCGTGACTGAGGCCCACAAAACCAAAAAGCCACCAGCAGTCCCCGCTCCCTCCCTCACTCCCACCTTGAACTTATGCTCCCCGCTGCTTGTCTCTGGGAGCACCTGGGGAACAGTGGAAGTGGCGAAGGTGGCAGGGTAGGGAAAGGAAGGAAGGCGCCAGGGTGCATGCAAGTAACCACTTACCCTACGCAAACACCCCCATTGCTCAACACCCCCATTGCTAGCCCCCGCATCCTGCCCGCCCACCGTCGCCTGTATCTCGCACTGCCTGCTCTGCGACACCTCCAGCGGGGCCATGTAGAGCTGCGACACATGCGGCGCATGGTGGCCGTCCACACGCCGGGAGGAGCAGTTGCAGCCGGACACGCAGCTGGGTGGAGGAGGGGGGCGGGGTGGAGAGTAGCGGTTGGGGTGGTACCAGTGGCAGCCGCGAAGAGAGAGGGCAGTGGATGGGGCCGAGGGTTGCGGATGACCGTGTTAACAGGTTGTGGAAGGAGACAAGCGATTGTACGGTGTGTGTTTCATGTCGCAATTGCAACCGCTCCAAAAGTAGCGGGTTCTTCCAGAAACCCGCCCCGTTCTAGTTCACCCTGCGCCCCACCTGAACTCCGCTATGCCCATGTGCACGTAGCTGCGCAGGTAGTGGAACACCACTACGGCGGAAGAGGGAGGGGAGGCGGGGGTAGGGAAGGAGGGGCAGAGGGGAGGGAGGGGAGAGCGGATTAAAGAGAAACAAGGCAGGGGGGTAGAGGGCGAGGCGTGAAAAGGTGTGAGCGGGACTATAGATGTGTATGGCATGCACCACGCCCCTTAACTGCCTCCGACAGAAGGGACCCTTCCACGCAGTCCCTGTAAACCCGAGGATCTCAACTCGTCGCTTATCCCGCCCTCCCTCATTCACGCCAACCATCCACATAAAACCCCAGACAGAGCGGCGGCTACCCAGCCGCACAACCAGTACAACAGGGGGGAAGGGAAAGACAAGAGGGGCACTTGCAAATGCACCACCCACCAAACACCAGGTCTTGTGGCTGCGCCCCCAGTGCTGTGCGGTCGGTGTCAATTCTGAACCGCAGCACACTGCCCGGCTGGGTGGCCACGTAGCCGGGCTTGGGCTTCTCCGGCGTGCCCTCGTTCACGTAGTCGAAGCCGGAGGAGGCCTCGGACACCACCAGAGACCTAAAGCTGTCCCCCAGGAGGCACATGCTGCTGTTGGGAGGCAGGTTGCCTGGGTACATAGGCCCCGCCAGCGGCGCCCCCGCCGCCTCCGCGTCTTCCTGCCCGTACGGCAGCTGTAGCAGCCCTAGCGCCGTCTGCTGCAGCATCCACACCGCCAGGTCGGCCATGAACTTGTGACCCTGGTTGCCCGGGTGGTGGTCTGGAAAGGCAGGAGGGGGAGGGGGAAGAGGGGGGTAAAAATAAGGAGATGGAGGAGGAACAGGTGAAGCGATAGTGGGTGGCTATTACAGTGCGCTCGAGGCAAGGGTTAGACCCACGCATAGATCCCTTGCTTGAACCCCACTACTACAGGAGCAGCAGCAGCCGCAGCAGTCAGTACAAATTTATCTGGAGACTGCGAGGCTATACGGAGGCTCACCTACAAAGGCATGCTCCCATAGGAAGCCCTCCCTCTCCTGCCGTACAGCCAGGTCGTACATGGCCGTACGGAGGGACAGCGCCTGCACGTCGTAGTACTGCGACATGGCGCCTGGGGGGTGGGGCAGGGAGGGAAGGCCGAGGGCGGAAGGCGGGGGGGAAAGGGGAGAAAACATGAGTTGATTGATGCTGGCACCAGGAGGGCGCGGAAGGCAGGGGTACCGGTAGCGAAGACGGTAGAAGTGCTGCGGTGCTGTATCCTGTCTCGGTGTTACACACCTTGCTGTATTTAGGGTTTTAGAGTTTTAAATTCACACACATGGACATGCGAATAAAGCAGCTATTACATGCAAGAAGCATTGGTGTATAAACCTGGCATGCTACCTAAGGACACATGTTTAGACGCGTCAGAGGGAGCTGACTTGCCCAAGCAAGCTGACGCCGGCGTCCGCTTCACGCAGCCCCAGGACACGTACCTACAGCATCCTCCGTTGTCCAGTGGAAGGGGCTGCAGCAGGCGTGGGCCAACGCGCACAAAAGGGTTGGGCAGCATCAGGCAAAGTAAGGTCGGCTCGCCATTGCCCAGGCGAAAGCTCTTAGCAGCGCAGCCGGCAGCACGTCATAAGGTAGGCTGCGAGTCCCAACTTGCAAACAGGTCGGTTCGGTTACCCCGCAACACGCAAGCGCACTTTCCACTACGCAAACGCCCATTGGCCGCCAGCTAGCCCAGATTCCCCGCTAGCCTCACCACCATGCACCAACCCCCCTAAATCACCACCTCCAAACTGCCATCGGTGTGCTGCAGCAGTCAAGACACAACACGACTCACTGCCAGTCCTCATTCTTGGTATTCTTGGGGTGCCCCCTGGGGTAGCTGGCCATGTGGTGTGTGGGCACGTGCATCAGCACCACCGCCGGCTGCCCCGGCAGGGCTAGCACGCGTCGTGTCAAGCGCTCCATGTCCTTCACGATGGTGTTCTCCGCCAGGGAATCTTCAAAGCCGTTGTTCACTGGGATGTGGGGTCAGAGCCAAACAACAAAACCACAAGTGAGGGCAAGGCAAAGGAGGAAAGGAGGCGATGTTGACAGGGAAGGGAGGGGCGCTTGGGAGGACATCAAGAGTCGTGGTGCCAGGGGTGTGGCGCCGGTAATAAGAGGAAAGAAGGCGAGCACTGATCAAGCCGCCCAGCCAAACCAGCCTCCTGCTACTGCTACTACAACTACTACTAGTACTTCTACTTCTACTACTAGTACTAGTACTACTAAACTACTACTAGAACTACCGGGACCCACATGTGAACTCCACAAAGACCAGGTCCACGTCCGGATCCACGGAGAGCTCAAGGCACAAGCTGAGGAGGGAGACGGCAAGGACATGCAGGATGCGCGGGTGACAACAGGGGCAGGGTGGGGAAGAGCAGGCATTGGTGCGCGGGTGACAACAGGGGCAGGGTGGGGAAGAGCAGGCATTGGTGCGCGGCTGACAACAGGGGCAGGGTGGGGAAGAGCATACATTGGTGCGCGGCTGACAACAGGGGCAGGGTGGGGAAGAGCAGGCATTGGTGCGCGGCTGACAACAGGGGCAGGGTGGGGAAGAGCATACATTGGTGCGCGGCTGACAACAGGGGCAGGGTGGGGAAGAGCAGGCATTGGTGCGCGGGTGACAACAGGGGCAGGGTGGGGAAGAGCAGGCATTGGTGCGCGGCTGACAACAGGGGCAGGGTGGGGAAGAGAAGGCATTGGTGCGCGGGTGACAACAGGGGCAGGGTGGGGAAGAGCATACATTGGTGCGCGGGTGACAACAGGGGCAGGGTGGGGAAGAGCATACATTGGTGCGCGGGTGACAACAGGGGCAGGGTGGGGAAGAGCATACATTGGTGCGCGGGTGACAACAGGGGCAGGGTGGGGAAGAGAAGGCATTGGTGCGCGGGTGACAACAGGGGCAGGGTGGGGAAGAGAAGGCATTGGTGCGCGGCTGACAACAGGGGCAGGGTGGGGAAGAGCATACATTGGTGCGCGGCTGACAACAGGGGCAGGGTGGGGAAGAGAAGGCATTGGTGCGCGGCTGACAACAGGGGCAGGGTGGGGAAGAGCATACATTGGTGCGCGGCTGACAACAGGGGCAGGGTGGGGAAGAGCATACATTGGTGCGCGGGTGACAACAGGGGCAGGGTGGGGAAGAGCATACATTGGTGCGCGGCTGACAACAGGGGCAGGGTGGGGAAGAGCATACATTGGTGCGCGGGTGACAACAGGGGCAGGGTGGGGAAGAGCATACATTGGTGCGCGGGTGACAACAGGGGCAGGGTGGGGAAGAGCAGGCATTGGTGCGCGGGTGACAACAGGGGCAGGGTGGGGAAGAGCATACATTGGTGCGCGGGTGACAACAGGGGCAGGGTGGGGAAGAGCATACATTGGTGCGCGGGTGCCAAGCACAAGCTGAGGTGGGAGCAGGAGGGGGCCGGCCATGCGGGCAGCATGGGGGGGAGCAGGAGGGGAGGACAGGGAGAGGTGGCCATGGAGGGGAGGGATCGTTATACACCGTTGATGAAGGAATGCGAATCGGGGTTATGAAGAGTCCAGTACAATGCTGGTTGCAACGCTGATAGCTCGCCGGTTAAACAATAGGGCAGCTGGAAGGAAGGTAATGAGTCGTTTAGACACGCATAATACAGCCGAGCATAGGGGCGATGTGGAACAGTAAGCGTGAAGGCATCCATGTTGCAAGTAAGGAGGAGGCTAAGCCATGTGCGTATCTGCGGTACGTGCCAGCTGCCAACCAGTGGCGGCTCAACCCACATCATGTACGACGCAGGGACTCCCGGGGTGCATCCGTTGCGTGTGGTGATGTTGGATTCGGGGAAGGCGTCCAACTGCGTTGGGGGGGGGGAAGAGGGAGAAAGAGGATGCATGATGTATCCCGGATGAGCAGTTAGTAAGAGGGCAGCTGGATTTCGGAGCTATAATCGCTATCTACGGTACTAGGCCTGTGTGGTCACCGTGTGGTCTCAGGCGGTTGTTCTGCTGCACCGCCCCAGACGTCCTGGAGATGGCTGCCAGATGCATCATCATCATGTGGGCCTTGCGTGGTCCTTACGTGGTCCTTATATGGGCCACATGTGGGCCTTACGTGAGCCTTGCGTGGTCCTCGTGTGGGCCTTACGTGGGCCTTGCGTTGTTGTTAAGGAGCTCTACCCGGGTAGCGCTCTGTTGCGTCATCTTGTTGCATGTCCCTGTCGGCCTGCTCTGCAATCCCGCCGCTGCACCATGCCCAATGCCTCACCCACCGCACATGCCAGGTGCGGGATTCTGACTGCCGCACAGCGCCCTCCTAGCACCTCTTCCTCCCGCCACTGCTAGTGCCTCCTGCCTCCCTACCCCCCACCACAAGCGGCCTTCGTCTACCCCCGCTGCCCTTTCCCTCCCGCCACCTACCAGCCATTTAGACAGGACACTGAACCAGTCGTCCTCCCCGCGCTTGCGTGTGCCCTGGCCCCACGACACGCTGTGGGAGGGGTAGCAGGGATTGAGGGACGGGGGCCAATGATGTGAAGACGGAGCGGGAAGGAGGCAGGAGAGGCAGGGGCGCCGGCTCAGAGGGCACATCCGTCTAGGGCTCGGAAGCATTAATTTGAAGCATCAGTTGGATCCTAACATTACCAACAGACAGACTGCGAAACCCAAATGTCCTGCTGCTACTCCTGCTACAGCTCCTTCTCTCCAACCCAGTCCTGCTCGTTAACTCAACCCGCTAGTCATAAACATCCCTGTTAACCACGTGGGGGAGTTAGGAACCCTAAGTACCCCACCTTCCACCAATGACGCCAATCTTGGTGGGCTTGGTGGGATTCCGACTCATCAGCTGTCGCACCACGCGTCGAAGACGCGTAGCCGAGCCGACGTAAGCCAGACCACGCTGAAGCTGTAGACGTGGGAGCGTGAACTTATAGGTGCCCAGTACCGTCGAAAGAATGGAAGTGACGGGCTGATTGTTGATGCTCATTGATGACCACGTTCGACCCCAGTCCCAGTCGAGCTCGGGACGAACACGCGTACGCTCAAAAAAATCATTGCCCAACCACTCCCCTTCTAAAGCGGAAGTCAATGAAGCGGTAACGAGCACTAAGAGGCATCCGGCAAGCGATTTCAACCGCGCCGGAGCCATACCTAAGGCGAATGCTAATACTATTTGTTGTAAAATAAATATATCAAATCGTATATGTTATAACTGTGCAAGCTTTGACTTGATTGGCCGTTCACTGCTAATAGATCCAGAGCCTGATTTGTTACAAATCTGCGAAAGGCTTCTACAGGTAACCTAAGCTTCCCTGCGTTTGTATTAGGCCGAAAAGCATGGCATATCTTTGTGTTACACACTTCCAAATGGTCGCCAATTACCGGTACCGGTAGCTAGAATGTAGGCCTACTAGAAGGATGACTGCCGTCAACGAGCATGATTACCAATGGGTTCCTTGTACAGCTGGGTAGTTAGTGCCGTTGGAAGACCAATGGTCGCAGAACGACGAATCATCCACCGCAGAGCCGAGGCTTTTGCATGTACTCGATGGCGTGCAACCTCTCTGCACCGCTGCATTCATGTTAGTATGTGTAATCCACAAGGATGCCGTAGAACCCGTGGTGATGGCACACTACTCGCACTTCCAGGCACTGGTACTGTCACTGTCACCTGCGCTGCAGTACAGTAGAGACTGTAAGCAGGCAGGGAAGCCGTGGATGGTGATGACGTGCAACCACAAGGCAGTCCCGGAGGCTTAATAGCAGGCGGTGATGGTTGGGTGGGACGCCTTGTGCGAAGCGGGACTGAGGCGGCAGCTTACCGCTGAGTGGGTTTCAGGGGGCAAGGCGGAGGCTGCGAGGCGCAGGCGGGTTGTTGTAGTTGGCTTCAGTTCTGATGTGTCACGGGATTGGCATTGTGACTTGGAGGTGTCAAGTGGCGAAGCCTCTACACAGCAGCTAGGCCGAGCGGTTGGTACTACCGGTACACATCAGAGGGAGCGCAAAGCAGAGCGTGCATTATTAAATTGGACCCATTAGGTGTGTTCGCATTGCGGTATTAGTCAGTGTCGCTGGCGCTGCGCGCCTTACATCGTGGCTTGAGACTCGTTGTGTGTAACTGCCAGGGCGCGCGGCCGCGTATCCTCAGTTATCTCATCAACGCTGGGATACAAATTTTACGATAGCTAGGACTTTTGTTATTCCCGTTCGGGACTTACAACAATGGATGAAATCCTCCGTGCGCGAAGGCTGACTGAGGAAATTTTAGCGCGAGCTGCCAGCATTAAGACCCACATGGCACAGGTATCCTATGTGACAAGCATCGGGGCATCCTGGACCTTAACCATGTCCCATCTCGACTTGCCGGGCTACGCTTTGACTGTCGGAACTTAGTCCGGTTGTTCCAAGGAATCTGAGGCATCAAAGTGTACGTCATAAAGTAAATGCTCATCAGGCTGGTGGCTTCTTTTTGCTGTTTCAGGTCAACCAGAGCATGGCCAACATGGCGCTCATGGAGGAGCAGCGGCTTCGGGCGGCTAAGGAGGCTGCGGAGGGGAGCAAGCCGTCGCTGGGGCTGATGGTGGGCAGGTGGAGGGATAGGGTAACCAAAGACATGGGAAAAAGCAACATTGTGTTCGTGCAGGTTTCACGACGGCCATTGTGTCATAGGGAGGCACCCTCACTTGGGAGGAGGAACGTATTCACGTAGCAAGGCTGATTGGTGGGCTGTCAACCTCTCCATCGCCTCCTCCCTATCCCTCTCTTCCCCTTCTCAGGACCTCCCAGACGACCTGCTGCGGCTGATTGCCGGCTGCTGCGGCCGCTTCGGTCCAGCAGGCGGCCACCCCGCCCCCTCCTCCTCCTCCTCCTCATGCTCCTCCTCCTCCTCACCCACGCGCCATCTCTCGCGCTCCCGTACCTCCCCAGCTGCTTACGGCAGCGCCGGCAACAGCACCGGCAGCAGCAGCAGGAGCCACGTCAGCAGCAGCAGCAGCAGCGGTGCGGCCTGTCTGGCGAGTCTTGCTGCAACCTGCCGGAGGTGGCGCCGCCTTGCCACGAAGGAGCCGCAGCTTTGGGAGGACATGTGCAGGTGCGGCGTACCTGCGCCCAGTTCATTTACGGCACCATAGAAACAGCTCGTTGTATGGTGTCAATATCATATAGGCCTGAAGGTAGTGACCCCTGGGTCACTCCCGGACGCCGGCCATGTCCTGGTGCGGCTCTGTTCACATGACGTGTTCCTTTTCCTTACCTTCTACCGCACCGCGTTCATGTGAGCCGTTATATGGCTGGTAACCGCATCCCTCTCTTCTTCATCCCTATCTTCTTCGTCCCCATCTTCTTCGTCCCCATCTCCTTCATCACTATCTCCCTCATCCCGGTCTCCCTCATCCCTCCAGGCAGCGGTGGGGTATCTCCGAGTCCGACCCTGCCCTCGTGCTGGTGGTAGACCCCCGCCAGTTGCACGCACACCTGCACCTGCACCTGCACCTGGCGGCGGCGGCAGCAGCTGCGCCCACGTCGGCGACGGCGGTGGCGGCGACGGCGGTGGCCACGTCTTCACAGCGGGGCGGTGCCGTACTGGCGGGAGTTCGCCCTGTTGCCGCCGCCGGTGCAGCAGCTGGCGGTGGCGGCGGCAGCGGCAGCAGCGCTCCTGGGGGTCGTTTGACGGGAGGTGTGAAGGCGGCGCCGCAGCAGCGGTCTTGGCCGTCACCAGCACGAGCCGCAGCAGCGTCCGGTGGTGGTCGCAGCGGTGGTGGCAGCGGTGGTGGCAGCGGTAGTGGGACGGAAGGTAGTACGGCAGGGCTGAGGAGGGCCCAGCCGTCGCCGCCAAGGGCTGCCACCGGCGGCGGCGCGGGCGGGAGCAGACGGCAACCGCCGGCGCCGCCGTCATCACCACGCCGGGCGCCGCCGCAAGTTGCCACGGCCGGCGCCAACCCTACCCCCACCTCCACTTCCTCAGCTGCCGGCACTCCCACGGCAGTGGCCCTTTCCGCCTCCCCCTCCACCTCACTCCCCAACCCGTCAGCGCCAGGGACAGTGTCAGCAGCAGCTGGTGCCTGCGCCCCTAAGCCAAGCTGTGCGGGCCTCACCTCCCCGCCGTCCTCACCCTCACCCTCACCCTCTGCCTCCCAGACACCCTCCCCTCGTGGAACAGCTGCCGCCACCAAGCCGCATGGGCAGGGGCCGCTGGGCAGCGGGCTCACGGGGTTGACGGGCTTGACGGGTCCGGGTGGACCCGTGGGTCCGTTGCTTGCGGGCGGGGATGCGCTGGAGCCCGTCCCGCTGGGCTGTGTACTGCAGCGGCTGACAGGGATGATGGGTGGAGATGGAAGGAGCGCAGCCGGGAGCTTGGTTCGGAGCGGCGGTGGTGGTGCTGGCGGCGGGGAGGGTGAAGAGTGTGGCGACGGACCCAACCCGTGGCTGCTGGTGTATCGTGACAGGATGGTAGGAGGGCTGGGAGGGGGAGGGTGGTGTTAAACGCGGGTTTCTGCGTTTCGGTAACTGTGGTCATGATGTAAAACCAAGGAGGCTACGCTGCGGCTTAAGTGTACGTATTCAGTAGTCCTTTGCCCTGTGCCGTACAGTCTTCCAGCTCCGTCCATTGCCTACCGTGCCCTCCCCTTTCATCCCCCTCCCCAACCAACCCCCCTCACACCCCCGCCAGGTGGGCTGGCGCGGCGTGCTGTCCATGTTCCGCTGGCTGCAGTCCCACGGCTGTCCCTCCGCAGTCTCCGGCAGCCACCACCGGCAGCAGCTGCTGGCAGCGCTCAGACACCTGGGCCTCGCCATCCGGCTGTACGGCTGCCCGGGGCAACAACACCAGCAGAAACAGCCACACCAGCAGCGGCAACAACAACAGCGACAGCTACCGCTACAAGGTCTGCCGTCGGAGCAAGGGAGTCATCCTTACGGCAGCAGCAGCAGCAGCGGCGGAAGCGGAAGCGGGTGTAGTGGCTGCAGGGCGGCAGCGGGTGGCGTCCGGGTGGCTGAGAGGCTGGCTGCTGAGCTGCTGGCTGCGGCACCTGACGTGGTGAGAGCGAGCCGGCGGGCTGGGACCTGCGGGGGGATACGGTACCGTAGGACGGCTGTGGAGTGTGCTTAACACGAGCTGCTTTGGGTTGCTAGGCCGCATGTGGCGCTTGTGGTGCGAAAGCTAACCGGGGCCTAACATGATGTAGCTTGGGGCTTGGGGTGCCGCCACAGCTGGTGGGCTGCATGGCTGTCTGCCGCCGCCAGGACCATTGCCGCAATGCCCCCCGCCCCCGTCAACAGAGAACAACAGCCCAATAGGTACTGGTGTAATCCGCTCCCACCCATCCCCCACCCTCGCTGCACTCTTGTTTCCTCATCACCCCCCCCTCCGCCCCCCCCCCCAGGTTCCCTGCCTGCTGGCGCTGCTATCCAACGAGGGCTGCCTGACGGTGGAGCTGGCGGCGGGGGCGCTGGCGGACCTGATGGCGTTGGACGAGCAACGACTGGCGGAGGCGGCGGAAGTGCTGGCGGAGGCAGCGGCGGCAGGAGGGAGGGGCGGAGGTGACGGCGGGGCGGAGCAGCAGCGGCAGCGGCGAAGGAGGCAGCTGGATGCACCGAGTATCATGGTGTGGTGGGGGTGGAGGGTGGGGACATGTGGGGTGGGGACTGTGGGGCTGTGCGGATGGGGGTGATGGGGGGTCGAGAGGGGATACGAATGATGATTCGAAGGATGCATTGTTAAGAAGGGTGCGTGAAGGGGAATCCTCCGCCAGGCGTCAGGTGTTGCTGGGTGTGTTCTTGGGCTTCCTACTACCGGTAAGCAATAAAGGGATGGTGAAATTGTGCCACAGACTGACACAGGTGTTGTTACCTTTGTCCGCCTCCTTTGCAGCAACACGTGCTGCTCGGCAGCAACAGCGGCCGCACCATAGCTGCGCAGCTGAGAGACGGAGTGCGCTCGCCGGGCATTGTACGACAGGTGGGGTGCCGTACCTTTTACTTCAATCCGAACCCACATGCAGCGAACGCCGTACATAGCTCTCTCCTATCTATCTCCTCCTTTTCCTTGTTCTTTTAACCTGTCTACTGCCTTCTATTCCTCTATGCTGTGCGACAACCCAAACGCCTCGGGTCCAGGTTACGAGATGCTTGGTGAACCTCTGGGCGTGCGGCCCGGTTCCCCGGGTGCTGCCGCTGCTGCCCCCTGCTGCTGCTGCTGCTGGTGGCCGCGGCGGCGGCGCTGCTGGAGACGGCTGGGCGGCGGTGCTGCCGGTGCTGGAGGTGCGCGATGGGAAGGAGACGGAGACGGGGAGGGACTTCCGGAGGGAGGAGACACAGGACGCTGTCAATCTGCTGCTCGCCACGCACGGAGTCAGGAGGTTTCGAATCCCCTACCACATCGCTGATCTATTGCCTCCACATAACCCGTCCTCTCTTCCTCATTCCCTGCCCCCCCCCCCCAAACCTTCCCCGCCCCCCCCCAGTCCGGCGTGTGGCTGCTGCAGGAATACTCCGCGCGGGGCGACCCCATGCGGCTCATCCACACCCTCATCACCTTCCGACCGGGCCTCACCACGACAGCTGCCACGTCATCAACATCCTCATCATCATCCCCATCATCATCAGCAGCAGCAGCAGCAGCAGCAGTCGCGAGCACCAACACAACCTCCTATAGAAGCGCCTCCTCCGCATCTACTACCGCAACCCATTCGGACATGGATCCAGACGCCGGGCGTGAAGCCTCTGGATCTGGATCCAGATCACTGGCCGGGCGAGTCAGCCAAGCCGCCGGAAGCAGCATTAGGGCGGGGGGTGGGTCCCATGGTACGGAAGCGCTGCCAACAGACGGTTGGAGGCAGCGCAGTTGGACTGGGGACGTCCCTGCCGCTTCTACCGCTGCATCCACCGGGGCGCCTCCGCCGCTCACCGCCATTCCCTCCGCCACTCCCTCCGCTGCGGCTGTGCTAGTGGGTCGGGATGGGAGGCCGGTGGGCGGTACGGCCGCGGCGCTGGCGGCACTAGGCGGCGGCACGCGGGTGGTGCTGGAGGCGGCGGGGAGGGGCGGGGCTGCGGGCGGGAGCAGCGGGGGGTGGCAGCAGGGTGGCGGGCGGCAGGTGGTGGAGCTGCTGGTGAGGGGTGGGAGGAGGGGCGGGGAAGGTGGTTGTGAAGGGGGCTGCTTCCTATCGTAGCCGATCAAGATATCGTCTTTGCCCGACAACCGGCCGCTGCTGTTCTCTAACTAATGCGGGGTTCTGCGTGCGCGTGCAGGAAATAGCGTGTACCTAGTCGTTAGCATCTGCTGCCCCCTCATGCCCCCGCACTTCCGCCCCGTGAAGCGCTGCCCTCTGCCAAACCCCTGGTGGCCTTCCCCCCACCCGCTTCCCCCATCTGTCATCCCTCTCCCTGCGCAGGGAGGCGGCTATGACGTGTTGCTTCCCCGGGGTACCCTGCCTGCAGCCACATCCGCCACAACACCCGCAGCGCCCACTGCAGCTGCTGCCGCCTCCCCACCCAACCACCCAACCGCCTCCCATGCTCCGACTACCAACACCAACACCACACCCGGGAGCGGCACATCTGGCGTCTCCTCCTCCTATTCCACCACCACGCCCCAGCCGCAACCGCAGCCCCCGCCCCCGCAACCGCTAGACCGCGAGGCTGAGGAGTTCCGGCTGGCGGGCTGGGTGGACCCGGGCAGCGGGGAGTGGCTGCTGGTGCGTAGCTGCGTCAACGTGCCCTTCGCGCTCACCTACCGGGTGAGGGAGTGAGGGTGTGTGGGAGAGCGTGCGGGTCTGTCTACCGGTGGTGGCTGGGCTGGGCTGCTGGGCTGCTGGGCTGCTGGGCTGCTGGGCTGCTGGGCTGCTGGACTAGCGTGTTGGTGGACCCTGCTGTGGGTGGGCGTTGCGACGTGCGGGGTGGGGGCTGGTGAGTAGGGCGGGCGTGGAGGTAGCTGCGTGTGCCTCGTGTCTAGCTGTACGGCAAGTGTTGTACCGCTATGTCGGTAGCCAATGCATTGTTGTTGCTTTACTACTCACACCGCCTTGTAACTCACACCGCCTCCTTGGGAATCTCCTGCGCAGGGTTACAGCGACGCGCACGGCTGCTGGGGCACCTACACCGTGCAGCACCAGCCGCAGCAGCAGCAGGCGGCAGGGGGCGGGGGCGCAGCGGGACAGCAAGGAGCGGGGCAGGGTAGCAGTATGGTGGCAGGCGGCTTGTCGGTGCGGGCGCCTCGGGTGTTCAGGTGGGTGGGTGGGGACGGTGGGCGTGGGGTTGGCCCTTACAGGGAGTCTAGAGGAAAGAACGAAAGGAGATACGATAACACAGTAGCTATTGTACCAATAGCTTATTGTGGCGACGGGGTTTGTGAGATCAGGCGCCCATCCTCCGTCCTCACTCCTCCTGCACGCAACCTCCCGCGCACATTCCATGTTTCCTATGTTTACCATGTTACCGCTACGTCGCCATCCCTTTTGAGCTTGCACCCGCCGCGCTTCCCCCGTTCTCCCCTCACTCTCCCCCCGCTCTCCCCTCACTCTCCCCCTCGCTGTCCCCCCGCTGCCCCCCGCTGCCAGGCTGTTCCGGGACCCCTCCCTGCCGCCCCCGGGTGAGCTGCTGAGGCTGCTGGCCGCCATGCAGGTAAGCGGGGGCAGGGAGGCAGGGGGGGTGCATGTACCGGTATGGGGAGGAACTGGCGGGTGCGGAGGGGTATCGGTGGTAGTGTTCGCTTTGGTTTGTCGCACAGGTATGAAGTGTCCATCACCACCTTGTTCCCATGCCATGCCATGCCTGAGCTATCCGTCCCTGACCTCAGTCCTGAATTGATCCCTGATTTGGGTCGCCCATGGTAGGAGCCAACCCAACGTGACGAGTGGCATCCGCAGCAGCCTCAACGGCAGCCTCATGCACAGCCTCAACCGCTGCAGGCGGTACGGCAGGAGCAGATGCAGCGCACGCAGCAACAGCAAGAACGTCAGCAGCAGCAAGAGAAGCGGCAGCAAGGACAGCAGGGTCCGACGCTGCTAGGAGGCAGGCCTTCGCAACAGCCGCAGCAGCAGCAGCGCCGACAGAAGCAGGATGGGCAACCGGATGGCGAGGACAGCAGCGATGGCGGTTGGAGTGAGATCGACAGCGATCCAGAGGAGGAAGAGAGCACTGAAGTGGACGAGGGAGAGAGCGATGTGGGCGTCGCGAGGGTTGCCAACGAAGCGCCCGTTAACCAAGATGTGAATCAGCATAGTGGTCCGAAAGGCGACCCAGAGGTTGCGGTGAGGGATGCCGCCGAGAAGGTCGATGATGAGGAGCTGCCTCATTTGGAGCCGCTGCTCCCTGCTGCCTAGGAGGGCGGGTTGTGGCGTGCGATTGTAAGTTGTAATTGTTTGAAATTGTACACGGGTCAGGAGCCCTTGACGTGCAGGGTTTCTCACCTCAGGAAGCCGATGGAGTGCGCGGTGCTCAAGGCAGGATACTAGTACCTTAAGAGCGTCAGAGGAACATGCGGAAAGCCGATGTTGTAGGAAGGCCATGGCAAGGTAGAAGTTAGGGTAGAGCTGCGAGCGCTGTCACGTTAAACGGTGCAATGTAACAAGCTGAAATCATGCTGGGATGCTGGGAACTAACATGCATACTGATGCTGGGAACGAAGAGGGCTAGCAGGGCAGAGCAAGACGTTTAGATATGTATACGCGATGACAAGAACGCTGCGGAAATGAGGCAAATGGGTGGTGACAACACTGACAAGGGTGCATGCATGGATGACTATTGCCGCCGAAGCGGCTGGCGAGGGGTGCGCCGCGACACGCGCGGCTCAAACACAACTAAGAGAACATTTCTGATTGCATATATTCACATTCTCAAATCTATTTGGTTCGTTGGCCATATGACGGCATGAATTGCCGCGGCCGGCTATACTCGCTGAACGGTTGCGTTAAAGCTGCACCCGCCAACCCTTGGAGTTTAAAGGTAATTAGTAAAAGGGCCTCGCTTTATATGCAAGGAAGGCACGGTTGCAATGGGCTAGGCTCCATGGGCTTACTTCTTCGCGCCGGTTCGCGCCATGGCCGTACAGATTGACAAATGTTCTGCGATGCATGCGTTATGCCGGACGGAATTACGATCACTTGTTATCCTGAACAGATATAAAAAGCAAGAAGTAAGTCTTTTACCCAACACATCGTGATTCGGGATTAACGCTATCTATCAATAGTTCTTCGGTACAAGCATAGACTCCATCCCGTTTAGGCCAATACAGTACGCGCCAAGTGTCATCAAGCGACTACACCCTCTAAGGTAGGTTTGCGTTGCGCATTCCTCTCCTAGCTATCTAAGTGACGACCGTTAGACACAGCGCGTCGTTATTAATTCCGTCGCCGGTATGTTCCTGGGATTGTATTGAGCGCTTGCTGGCTGTTAGGAAATGTTAGCACCAACCATATGTTTTGCTTACCTGGGCGCAATTTGCGAAGCGACTAGGACAGGTAGCGAAACATTACGTCGAAATGGAGTTCCATTGATGCGTCCGGGCGAGTTCGACCCCTTCCATTTAACCCACTCATGTAACCTCTATGTCTTCAAATGTGTGCTAAGCCAGTCGTGTTCTTCCTCTTCTGTCAACCTTCCGCGCAGGCTTCTCGATCATCCACTTATTAGCATCCCAAAGCGAGCCTATCAACCTCTGGCCTCTTCACCAAGTTCCTCGTCTCAACTTTGCCTAAACTTCACTACACTGCAGCAAGTCGACGTATCCGTGGCAGTCTGCGATATGTCGAGCCCAACCCCTATCGCCTGCCCCTCGCCAGTCAAGGTCGCCATTATCCGACTCGATGAGAACGATGCCGCGACTACCCTTAGTCCGCTGCCCATCGTTCCTCCTTCTCCTGCACGTGAGCGGCTTCTGAAGACCGCCAAGTCTCCTGTTGGCAAGCCCACCGCCAAGCCCGCTGCTGCCCCCGGTGTCGGCAAGCCTTCTTCCGCACCTCCCAAGCTCAAGTTGTTTGCGCTGTCCTCCCTCGACCAAAGCAGCCTGTAAGTTAAAAGTAATGGGTCCTGCGCGTGACTTCAAATATACGTGTTAGGCTGGTACATGCCATTTACCGCACGGTTCCTGGGACCTCTTCCCTTGCGCGAGCAATTTTGCAACCTGCTTCATGCTGTGGCTTGTTCCCATTTCCCACCACAAATGTCTGCCGACCACAACCCCGTCCCTTCCATTTCCTTCCCCTTTTCCCAACCCACAGTCGCTCTCCAGCATCCGCTTCCGACGCCTCCTCCCCCTCCGACGCCTTCTCCTTCCCCTCCGCCGCCTCCTCGCTCTCGCAGCCTCTTCCCAGCCCTCTGCCCGTCCAACGAGGTCTGCCATCCGACTACCAGGCCTTCATCCACGCCTCCCGCTACGCGCGCTGGGTGGAGTCGAAGCGCCGCCGCGAGACCTGGCCCGAGACCGTTGACCGTTACCTGGAGTTCATGTCGGGTCACCTGGCGACCGCCTGCAACTACAAGTTGGGTGCCGAGCTGCGGTCTGAGCTGCAGGAGGCCATTGTGAACCTAGAGGTGAGGGGCGGGGGGCGGGAGGGGAGGGGAGGGAGAGGTGTTGTTAGGGTTGAGGTTAGGGTTGTGGAAGGGCGATGTGCAAGGGATCCGTGAGGGATATGTGTTTTGGTGATTTGGGTCGGGAGGGATTTGGGTCAGGAGGATTTGGGTCGGGAGGGATTTGGGTCGAAAGGGATGGGGAGAGCATTGAGAAACGTAGGGCCTTCACACTTCGATCATGCGGACGCCCACGACCGCCCTTCCGCAGCCTTTCATCACTGCCATCACCTGCTCATCCCACCTGCCCTCACTTGCCCTAACCTGCTCTTTCCGCCTGCCCCCCCCCCTGCCCCCCCCTGGCCCCCCTGCCCCCCACCTCACCCCGCGCCCCAGGTGATGCCCTCCATGCGCGCCATGATGACAGCCGGTGACGCGCTGTCCCGCTGCCACGTGGCGGGCTACAACTGCTCCTACCTGCCCATCGACCACCCCTTTGCCTTCGATGAGGTGCTGTTCGTGCTGATGAACGGCACGGGGGTGGGATTCAGCGTGGAGGTGCACCAGGTGGAGAAGCTGCCGCCCATCGCGGAGAGGTGAGCAGGGGAGCGGTAGGGGGAGGGGCTGGGGAGGCTGGGGCGGGGGGGCGGCTGCAGGTGTGTTTGTGGTTTGGGTTTGGGGCTGAGGGTTGTGATGAACTTGTTTTTGTGTTTTGTTTGTTAGCCAGGATGAACGAGAAGGGTTGGAGCTGTTCATGTGGGTCATACCGTTATGTGGTAGCGATTACGCTCTCTTGACATGCATAATAGTGACACGCATATTGCCCCTCCCGCTCCCCCGCTCCCTCCCCAGGTTCGTCAACAGCTCCACTCGGGTGGTGGTGGAGGACAGTCGCGAGGGCTGGGCACGGGCGCTGCGAGAGGTGCTGGCGCTGCTGTGGATCGGCCAGGTGCCGCGCTGGGACACTGGGGCGCTGAGGCCCAAGGGCGCCCGGCTGCGCACCTTTGGCGGGCGGGCCAGCGGTCCGGAGCCGCTCGAGGCGCTGTTCCTGTTCGCCGTACAGCTCTTCCAGAAGGTGGGAAGGGCATGCGGGCCGGGTTGGGTTGGGGAAGCTCGCCGGTAGTGTGCCTGCGGGTACGGCACGTGTGAACAAGAAGTTGGAAGATGGCAGAGTGTTTACTACAACGCACACCCTATTTGGGTGCACTACCCGTCCTGAACCCGCCCTCTTCCTCTTCTTCTCCCGCCTCCTCTCCCCCTCATCCTCAGGCTCGCGGCCGCAAGCTGACCCCCCTGGAGTGCCACGACCTGGTGTGCAAGGTGGCCGAGATCGTGTTGGTGGGCGGTGTACGGCGGTCCGCGCTCATCTCGCTGTCCGACCTGGCCAGCGCCGAGATGCGGTGCGCCAAGGCGGGCGCCTGGTGGGAGGAGCAGCCGCACCGCGCGCTGGCTAACAACAGCGCGGTGTACCTGCAGGAGCGGCCGGACATGGGGACCTTCATGGCGGAGTGGAAGGTAGGCGGCGTGGGAGGAGGCGGGCGTGGGAGCTGCTAGGGAGTATACCGATAGCAGGCACGGGTCTTTTGCTTTTACAAAGCGAGATCTAATAAAACTTGACAACAGGCATCCGTTTCACATCTTACCCTCTTCGATTCCTTCCTCTCCACCCCCCACCAGGCCCTGTACGACAGCGGCAGTGGTGAGCGCGGCCTGTTCAGTCGCGCTGCCTGCGACAAGCAAGTGGCCCGCAGCTGCGGCCGGCGGCAGGGCGGCCACGAGTGGGGCACCAACCCCTGCAGCGAGATCATCCTGCGGCCCTACCAGTTCTGCAACCTCACGGAGGTGGTGGTGCGAGCGGACGATGACGAGGCGGCGCTAGCGCGGAAGGTTCGGCTGGCGACCGTGCTGGGCACCTTCCAGACAACGCTTACCAACTTTCCCTACCTGCGAGAGGTGAGTACGTAGTGGCGCGGATGGAGTGGGATCAGGGCTGTTGCTTGCTGTGTAGGAGGGTGGGAGGGTGGGATGCAGTGTGGCGGTACTGGGCGCACCTGGCCTTCTGAGAACAAGCAAGTACCGTATGAGATAAGGAAAATACTACGGACGTTCATGTCTTGGCTTGGCAGGGTTGTGCGTCTATCCCTACCCAGTCCTGATAGGGTAACCAATGCCAACTTTACCTCACCAGTTGCTACCCTTCCCACTCCTTCCCACGCTCTTCCCACTCCTTCCCACCCCACCAGATCTGGCGCACCAACACCGAGTCCGAGCGGCTGCTGGGCGTGTCGCTCACCGGCATCATGGACAACACCCTCACCTCCGGCCTCCGCGGCCCCGCCCCCCTGGAGCACCTCCTCACCTCGCTGCGAGCCGCCGCCACCGCCGCCAACGCGCAGCTGGCGGAGGCGCTGGGCATCCCCGCCGCCGCCGCCATCACCTGCGTGAAGCCCTCCGGCACCGTGAGCCAGCTGGTGGATGCGGCGTCGGGCATCCACCCACGACATGCTGAGGTGAGGAAGTGCTGTGGGAGGGGGAGATGGCGGGAGGGGTCTATCAGTTAGCGCGGGGAAGGAGGCTGACAATGAATAGGGTAACACAGAGTTGTGCAGGGTATGGATGGCTGTGTCAGTTGATAGATAGGCACATGCGTTCTTTCTGCATATGTAACTGACCTTTTTGCCTCGTTGTCGTACATCTCCCCCTCCTTTTCCCCCTGCAGTACTACATCCGGCGGGTGCGCTGCAACAAGGACGACCCGCTCACGGGCTTCATGGCCGCCAACGGGGTGCCGGTGGAGGACTGCGTCATGCGCCCGGACGCCACCGCCATCTTCTCCTTCCCCGTCAAGTCGCCAGACGGTAAGCAAGCATGCCTGAAGGCATTCGCTCAGCACCCGGATTAGCAGCAGAGCGGAAATGGAACGGTGCAGTAATTGTCCTTGTGTTACCTGTACACAATCCGTAAACCATGCTATGCTAAATGATGCCGGTACCCTCTTTATTTGCTGTTTGGCTTTGTTATTCTCCTCGGCCCCTGTAGGCGCCGTCACGCGTGACGACGTGTCGGCCCTCAGCCAGCTGCAGCTCTGCCTGGCCTACCAGCGCCACTGGTGCGACCACAAGCCCTCCATCACCGTAACCGTACGGCAGCACGAGTGGATGGCCGTGGGCGCATGGGTGTACGAGCACTTTGACGAGCTCAGCGGCGTCTCCTTCCTGCCGTACGACTGCGGCAACTACAAGCAGATGCCGTACGAGAAGGTGGATCGCGCGTCGTACGAGGCGTTGGTGGCGCGCATGCCGGCCGCGGGGCTGAACTGGGCGCTACTGCGCGAGCTTGAGCGGGGTCCGGGAGCGGAGGAGAAGATGGAGGGGGAGTTGGCGTGTACGGCGGGGGGCTGTGAGCAGGTGGATCTCGCATGAGGGGGAGGTCGAGGTGTACGGGAAGATTGGTGGTATTAAGAGCAGCATGCATGCGAAGGTGTACGGCATGGAATGGCAGGATGGTTCAATGTGGCAAAGTGGGGTTGAGTAGTGACCCACGGGTCGCAGGTGTGTGATGGAGGCTTTGCTTGGCTGTGAGGTGAGGGAGGTGAGGCGTACAGGATGTTAAGATGGGAACATGGAGCTCTGTGTATGATTATGTACCGAAGAATGTTGCGATTCATCGTTTGTTATTCATAAAGCGCACCTACATTGATGCGCGGGTTCCTGGTTGGGGTTGGTGCTTGCCGTGAATGCGAGCAGATACGGATAACGGTCCGCAGAGCTTGTGCACTGTGGGGATGGTACGGATGTATAATAGACGCCAGGTACTGCTGCATCGTTCCTTCTCTTCCCGCCATTGCGTGAGAGAAGCGCTCGTTCATGTTTCTTGTTGAATACGTGTGCCAGTTTGGTTCATAGCCTGGTAGCTTTTTAGGTGTGGCCGTATCATTGTTGTTCGTTTGAAATGCAAAGACAAGCCACCAGGGCTCGTAACCTTTGCGTGTTCTGCATTTTTTTAACATAGTCAACAATGTACATGAGGGTGTACGACGTTCCCACTATTTGAAGCGCCATCTTTGCGTCTCTTGCATGTTGTCAGAAAGTTTGGCATGCACTATGGTAGGAACTGTGCGCACCTGTCCGCTCAAGGACATAATGTAAGTTACGAGCGGAGATAATGGTTCATGCCACCTCTCTGCGGGCATCAGGAAACAACGCCCCATGCATGGTTCACACGGCCCCGACTGCAGCTCCGGCAAGCCATGCGAGGCGGATAGGCCTCATGGACGGCACCAACCTATGCGGATGGAACGAACGAAAGGGATGATGGCAAGTCGGCATGTAGAGATAGCAGCGAAAAGCGGTGGTCCGGCACAGGTGGCCACACAACGGACATCATATGTTGCTCTATTGCAGGGCAGGCCCAAGCCATTCCACTGCACTGATAACTGCGCCAAATTCCTTCTCAGCACAATGCCTGTCAAGCGTGATGACGCTCACACAGACAAGAAGCTCACGATGCACCCCAGAACCTGGATCTCAACCTCCATCATATTGCACCTCTGCATCTCACCCTCCGTCACGCAGCGCCCCAGAACCTGACAAGGGCATGGATGCTGGCCATGGCTGCTGACACGGCTGCTGACGTGGCTGCTGACACGGCTGCTGGCACGGCCAAGTGGCGTGGCTGGTATGCATGGCTGCTGACACGGCTGATGCTGACGCCACGTAATGCTGACATGGATACTGACACGTACGGCTGCTGGCACGGGTGTTGACGAGACTGCTGACATTGGCATGGATGAGCGACACTGACATTGCCGTGGGTGCTGACGTGGATGCTGACGTGGGTGCTGACATGGATGCTGACGTGGATGCTGACGCGGCTGCTGACGTGGTTGCTGACGTGGCTAC